AGAGATGAGACTCAGCTGCTCCTCCTCTTCCGTCTCCTCCTCATCCTCCCGAACGGAGCTCCCTTTTTGAACCTCCGCCCCCGGTTACGTTTACTCGATTAATTGATTGGGGGAGGGCTTTTTATAACCGGCCATATTTTATTCTCAGTTTTTGTTATTATTAAAAATTATTAATTCTGGTGAAAAAAAAATTGTATTTTATTGCCAAATTTTTTATGTTTTGAGATCAAGCCAATGTATTGGGAGCGGACACACCATGTGCAAAATTTTTGATTGACTTGGGATTTGACTCGGGATCAGCTAAAACTGGGTGAGAGTCTTGGATGTCCAGCCAAACCAAGCAAAAAGGCTCACAAATAAAATTTTGGATGGGGCTATTTGGCAAAAAGGCAAAGCAGATCTTGAATCAACGAAAAATTCTGCACAAGAGATTACAACCTTGCAAAGCTACCTAGCAAAAACTAGATGACGCTGTCCCTTAAATTCAGTTTTGGCATGTTCCCCTAAAAAGAATTCGGGCCAGCTCCACCTCGTGAGTGCGAATTGTCATTTGGGCCTTTCAGTGCAAACATGCTCATTTCGCTTGATCGTTTCTTGAGCAAAAAAATGGGTAAGCAAGCTACTGTACAAGCTTTACCAAGGACTAGAGTAACCCGTCCCTCAAATTCTTCCACTTTTCGCATGATTCTCCCAAACCGAGTCGAACCAGCCTTCCCGACCCCACCTCGTGAGTGCGACTTGTTATTTCTCCCAGTGCAGAGCTGCTCATTTCACTTGGACCCCCGCTCTCAATCAATGGAGTGAGCTGACTGTCTGTGACTGTGGGTCGAGTGGTGGGTCGTCTCGGTTTGGGGAGGAGAGGCTTGGGTGTGCTGGTGTTGGGGGGAGGGGAGGGCTCTTATCTGGTGCTCCCGCCGTCGGGGGTAAGGGACCGTTCAGGTCTCCTATCTTGGTGGACAGCAAGACGAAGAAGAAGGTGGAGAAGAAGAAGAAGAAGAAGGGAGGAAAGGGTCTCGGCCCGGGCCTCCGCTCTGGCAAACACCACCGTCCTCCCCCTCACAACCCCCAAGACCGGGTCCCCGAAGGCTCTCACTGTTTCCCCCCTTCTTCAACAGTCTTGCTTTCAACAGTCGATTAACTAATTTGGGTTTTGAATGGTTTTTATTTGTTTTAAAGGGTTGCCAACTATCCGGACTGCAGTATCTCCTTTTTATACCGCTTCACCAAATATTACCGTAACTTCTTTTTTAATGAAATGAGAAAGCACAATTATATGAGTAAAAATAACAAATTAAATTAGCTAGGACAATAACAAAAATTACTCGGCCTGCTTCAACCTTGTGAAATTAAAAATCGAATTGAAAAGATATATTGTTTTTCTTGAAAATCCGTTAAATTTAGGTGATCTACAAGTCGTCGAAATTACTATCGGAATAACGATTACCTATACCTTTAAAAAGATGGGTCCGCCCATTTGATATAAAACTAGCTTAAAGATCGAACTATACTTGTCCATATTTTACCTAATCCCGGTACTCTCAATTTGAATAATTCATCCTTTAGTACTTATGACCTGACATTGTCACTATTGGTGTAAGGAGCTTGGCCCCCTGACATCTTTTCTTTGTGTTGCGCGAAAGAGCAACCCTTTTTTGGCGCCTGATGTGCGAATGAATTATCGATTTTGTGTCCAGACCCGGTCGAAAACTGATTACACAATTCAGCAGATTGTCTCGACGTAGCTGTCTTAATTTTTTATAGCCCGAGTATGTCCTTATGGCGGGTTTTATGGTCGCTACTACTCGCTATTTTTGTTGACAGTCTTTACGTATTCTTTCAAGGGAATGTGACATCATCGTTAAATTTAGGGCCCGCCTTTCGGTATTTATTAAGCCCTTTGATGAATATTCAAATCCATAGATCATCCACCTGTAGCTCATATCCCCCTTCTAATCCTCGCCCGACTAAACCAATATGTCATAAAAAGGTCAACGCCCTGAGGCTATTCCTCGACCCTTGAGCACGACATCGGGGTTAGCCGTGGGGGCCGGGGCTCCTATTATATGCTCATGGACATGGCCATCTGCTTCCTCTATATCCAGCGTGAACCCTTAGATACAGTGCTCTCTCAGTCTCCACTGCCTCTCCCTAGCTGGCCCTCCCCATTTTGGGCCACCTGGCATCTTCGCCCTGAGGGCTGTGTGGCTCCCCGCTCCACACCGGGCCTTTTAACCCGGCTCTCACACGCTTTCTTTTTTTGGGTTTTGAGGTGGGTAGGTGACATTCGACTATCCTTCTTATCCAGATCTCTGTTTGTTTTGCTGAATCTATCATAATCGTTGGGTTTGGTGGCAAGTGGGCTTGGACTAAGCTCGTGCTCAAATTGGCTCTCATATGGAGACAGTCGACAATGCGGGACTTTTCCCTATTTTAAAACATTGCAATTATCTCCAAGCTTTAGCTGAAATTGAGCAAGACAAGATTTTGACGCTTTCGGAGGCTAAATCCATTTTTTTATGCAAAGCCATTTGTTGAGTTTTTTTTTAATTTGTAGGTCCCAGTGAAGCCGGGACTTTTCTGTCAGAGTACCGCAATGTACCTGAAAAAAACAACTTTTGCCATCTACTCCTTCCAAAACCAAAAGCATCGCCACTCCTCCCAATCCCCGATGGTGCGACTATTTTTGGTTGAGACCCGAGATTGGGGCCCACATGGTTGCGCGAAAGGCCCTTCCCGTCGAGCACCGTCCATGTCCCGCTAGCACACAGTCCTCCCTTCCCTCTACAGTCCCAGTCCCTCCTCTCTTTCCATTCCATTCCACTCCTCCTTTCCTCCCCATCCCCCGATGACTCGTCTCGGGACCCACATCCGGCTCCCGCTTCCTCCTCGCGCAGTCCATCCCCCTTCCACCCCCCCTCCCCGCTACCGTCGTCAACCGCGCGCTCGCCCAATCCACACTCCTCGCGCCCCCCGCTGGGCTCGCACTCCCGAGGACCGGTCTTTGTACCGTATCCTATCGTCGAGACTTCCTTCTTGTGCTTATACTCTCGGGGCGTTTTTTCCACTGGCTTACTGTAGTTCCTATAATTTTTAGCGCGCTCCCCTCTAAAATAAGCACTTTGCGTGAAAAGTTGTTTATTTAAAACTGGTATATTTTATTTAAAGTTACGAATTTCGTTACTTTCTAAAGTTTAAGTTAAGTTTTAAGTTCATAAATTCATTAAGTTATTATTGGCTTTTTTATATGCTTATACAATTCTGTCGTTCTTCTCATTCTCAACAATTCTCCATGCCGTCTCAAGCCGTTTAACTAGCTAAAATAGTTCGAAATGACTCGATATCGCACCAATTTTACCATCAGATTTCGGCAAAAGTTAGCGAATTCAAAAGCAGTTTGGTTGTCAAACTTTAGCAAAAGCCTCAAAAAATGGTGCCCAAAAATTTCCAGAATTCGAATAAATTTTCTAACTTAATCCCGTTTAACCATTAATGCCGACTTTTCGAAACTACCCGGCCCCGTCTGTTATCTGCCGATTGTGCGGGCCCGACTCCAAATATTGATTAGCCCCGAGCTCGTCTGGCAGATCACCATCTGAAGCTCACTACTATCTTATCTCTCCTAACCTCGAATTTGAGCACCAACAGACCCGCCCGTCATTTCGATAATTCCCAGACTTTGCCAGATGCAGCTCTTCCCTTACCTCAAAATCCAAAGCCACCCACCCTTCGTCCTCCCATTTCCCCCCCTCACAAAAACACTCCTGTTTGGTGACGCTCTCCCGGTTGGTGGGCCATCCCCCCCTCAGACCGGGGAGGGAGGACTGTGTGTTAGGGGGCCCGAATGGCCTGCGCCTTTTGGGCCACAGGGCTCAACACAGTGGCTGCTGGTCGGTCGGGTGCCCGGGCATTCCTCCCCAGCTGAAGTGTCCATCCAGCGCTCCCCGCGCCGAGACGGGACCCCCCTTCCGCGTCCGCGCCTCCACCCCGCACACCGTTTCCCCTCCTCTCCACGCTTTCCTTTTTTTGGGGATGCTGACGGGAGGGTTGGGGCCCAGGCCGTTTGCCTCCGAGACTGTCCACGCATTCAGCCACCCGCCCGACTTGATTCACTTTCTAGATCAGGTTTCTGAGCCGATTGCTCCTGGTCCTCAGTTTCCTTGAGTTTGGCCATTTGCCATTAGATCTGCTAAGAGATGTTTTTCTCATCAAACGTCACGTCGATGTCTCATGCTAATTATGATGCAAAGTTTTATATTACCAAAAATGATTTTTCATCAGACTTTTACGCTTTACATCCCTTAGCATATCATTAACATCTAGTTTAACTTCAAAATCCCTTTAGTTCAATCACTCCGGCGTACATTTTTTTTGATTTCCATCTTGCATTTGATTAAAGGGTTTTGGAAGTCATCAAATATTTTGGATAAGTAGTATTTCGTTACGAAACCATCTTAACTACTTTAGATTCATTTTTGAATTATTTTAATTTGTTTCACTAATCTACGTCAAAAGCACAAAGAGGGATTAGTTTTGGACGATCCTTGCGTTATGCCCCTAGGGCATTCCCTGACCTTGTTCTCACGCCTAGTCATAGTAAGGCTCTAGGCGGAGATAGAGCTCAAACTACTCCCAAGAAAGGTCGTTTTTGAATAAGCTATGGAATTTGGCAAGTTTTGCAGATTTCCTAACTAATGAGAAATATTACTAAAAGTTCCACTTCATTACAAGCCGCCCCCCCTCCAGCCCGACTTGCCACGTAGTTCTTCCCCCCTATTCTCCAACATCGAACTGGCCCAACAGCTCATGGGCATCGACTCAATACAGTGAAGTGATTCCCTGCTCACCTTCCATCCTCCTCCACCCCTTCCTTCTTCCCCATTTTCTCACGCCACGCTCTATTGATCAGCGCCGGGCCATATTCGGTCGGTATCCATCGGTGTTCCTCCCCGTCTCCTTCTTCTTCTCCTCCCTGCAAGAGCTGGCCTATTCAATTCTTCCCGATGCGTCGAATACTCGGCTATTCCAGATCACTCAAGGCCCAAAAGACTGACATCAAGGCGCTGCGCAACGAGCGTGGCCACTGCGTCCTCAAATTATTCCAGAACACGCCGACGCTTGTGGTGGGTATCCTATTATTTTTTTCTCATTACTGAGGTTGTAGAATGTAAGAAATATAAAAGATTCACTTTATAAATTTATCTATACTTCAAACGAGAACGTCATTTGATTGACACATTAAGGATAGGTTAGGGAGAGAGAAACCTTTTTAACCTAAACTTTAAAACATTTTAAGATCTTTACACGCAAAACTTTTAAATTATAATTGAAAAAGAGCAGGGCAAACGTCATTTTTGGTTTCTAAAGCTTGGGCCGCGTAAAAAGCTACCGTACCCCCAAGGCCTGCGGAGCCATTGGTGCGCCCTTGCCCCCACAAAAGTAGAACCATCTGCGCTTTCCATGCACTGATAACAGTCGCCCGCTTTTTTTGCATTTGCCGCGTTTTTTTCTTTTTAGGCCTTCTATAATTTTTACTTGAAAGTGCTTCTTGTATTTCATTTTCAAAAAAATTAATCCAAATTTTTTGGGATTCCACAAAACTTTTTCTTTCGACATACTTTTCATACTCATGCAGAGTATTCAGTGTTTCTGAATTGATTCTAGGACGTAGAAGTTTTTGCTCCTTCTGTATCATTTCTTCAGCACTGTTCTAAAGTATATATTTAGGGGAACTCTTCAACTCGATTGCCGTCAGCCCTTCTAGAAAGGGAAGAACAGTGGAGTCGAATTGCTGAACATGTAAGCTTCTTTTTGATTTTGTTGAAAATTGTTTTAGATAAACGATCGGTACAGTGGACGACTGAGCCCTGTGAACACAGAACGTGTGAAGAAGATTCATATGTACTATCGGAAACGGGAAAGCAAAATGCGGTAAGTGATTTGCGTTTTTTTAGTGGAAATTCATAGTATCTCAAGAGTAAATCGTTTTTATCAATGTTTTTTTAGAGCCCGTGTTGATGTCCTCACCCCTGAAGCCGATGTGGAAAGCCCTTTGAAGAAGAACATCATCCATGAAGATGGTGATTGCTTCGTAATGGATGTCAATGCTGATACCTCGGAGAGCGCCACAGATGAAGACCAAGGAGTTTTTGCCCTTTCTGAAGAAAATCTGCAGGCTATAATCGAGTAAGTTTTTAGCCAAATTCAAATGTTTTACCGTGAGACTTATAATTTGTTAAATTACCCGTTTGTTTTTTTCAGAGCCATCGGCGCCGATCCACAACGCGACAATGCTTCTCCAGCCCTGTCCTATAAAAGCTTGTCCCAGGGCAGCTGTGAAAATCGGAAGCTCGTGGCTCACTTGAAGTAAGCATTACAATAACTTTCTATTAACCTTTTGTATAGAAAAGAACGCTCGGCAATGGTCGACCAGATGGCCAAATACTACTTGAAGCGGCTGTGCTTTGATGGAACAAATGCTTCGATGTGAGTTTACTTTAAACCTGTTTTTGTCTTCTTATAACGGCGACGTACTATCCTCTAATTTGAAGTCTTAGTGCCCGGTCGCAGAATATCAACCAAGAGCGCCATTCGATGTGGAAGCATATCTCAGACAAGGTACTTTTTTATCAAAGTTAGATTTGGCCTTTTTCGTAATGCACATGTTTAATGTACTATTTTAGATCAACGCCAAGTATGCCGAGCAGATTGGTTACCTCACCGTGGAGCAGACAAAGAAGCTTTTCTCCAACCTCAAGAGGAAGTCGAGGGCCAAGAAGTAAGCACGCTTTTCGAATTTTAAATCTTTCTGGATTGGGTTTTTTATATACTTTATTTTTATAGAGATGAAGATGGCCGAGATGACAGCAACGGATCAAGGGGAAGCCCCGATGATGTAATTTACATCCATTGTTTCCTATAATTTCCTTTTAGAGCATGATGGATGAGGACTTCAGTCTAAACCTGGTGCGTGATGTGATCGCCCGTGAAAACATTGACATTATGCAAGGTAGCGTTTTCACATAGGTTCGGTAGTATAGTAATTATTTTAGGTGTCTTCAACCTACAAGAAAAACAAGCCGAGCGATCGCCATCCGTTGCCTCATCCACATCGTCCTCTCGGTGCACCCGCAAAGACTTCCCTGTCTTTGATTCCAGTATGTATTTGTGTCACTATTGGTAATAATGTTATTCTTAGGCGTCTTCTCATCCCCGCCAGCCTCATCCGGCGAAAACCGACTTGATGAATTGCTGCGGGTGCGTTGAATTTAAAATTTTATTTTTAAAGAGTTGAATCTTTGCATGGGTTTATTATGTCTGAATTTTAGGGTCTCGACAAGACTTTGGAAGCCCAGCTGCTCCGCGAACAGCTTACTGAAAAAGAGCAAGAGAATCAGCGTCTGAAGCGGAAGATTGAGGAGGTAAATCTTTAGCTTTAAGTTTTAAGGGATTTTCGATATAGCTTCAAGCTTTTCGGCGCGTATACTAAATCTTTTTTTTTCAGCAAGCCGAAGAACACAAGAAAAAGATCCTTGCGATGATTGAACTGGTCGCCCTAGCTGTCGACCGAAAAGCCTCCGATGAAGTACGAACTATCCTCAGTCTGTGATCTTATGTAAATGTTGTATATCATCCTCCCTGGGTACCACGTGCATTGTCCTCCAAATCCGGCAATATCAACCCCCACAAGCCATTGATTTTATTACAATTCTGGGTATCTTAGCAGTGGCCATGCGCTTCATTTAATCGCCATAATTTATTTGGAAATTATTCTTTGACTACCCTTCCCTGTCCAAGACCGAAACACTTTATTTCTTGTTGGTATTTGCGTACCCTACACTACCCCGTCCAAAGAATTCTGCCAAAAACCCTTATTTGCCAAAAGTAACCTTGAAAATTGTCAAATTGTTAAAGGTTAGAAAACGCTTAGACATTTGAAATGTATTCTTATCCCCTTCCCCGCACTGCACTGCATGATCACCTCCCCTCCAACTGAGATAAATTGCTTTATTCACTTGATACACAAAATGGTTGTGTTGATCCCCGCGCTTCGCGGATCCCCCCGTGGACTTATCGTCGCTTCAATTGTGATTTTTCTTCCGTTGGGTGGAGTTTTATATCAAATAAATGTTTAAACTATTTTTGTAAGAATAAGGAATTTTAAGGTTCTCTCTTGCGGGATGTCAAAGAAAATACAAAGCGTGTTATTTATTGCACAAAGACAAAGTCAGTTTTACAAAGGCTATATTCGGTATAGAAACTTCGAACGTAACACATTAACCGGACGAGGTTTTTCAAAAAACACGGGATGGCTGACGAGGATTAGGTGGCACGTGGAATGGCAGTTTTGAGGAGGTCTTCACAAAATTCGGTGGCCTAGTTCACCCGTGAGCATGTGAGCAGGATGGTTTCACCTTCCTAAGATTATTTTCTTTTTGATAGCATTATTAAAAACGTACCATATGCAAATTCGTTGCGCCCTCCTTGTACTCCACGCGCACCGTTTTCGGTTTGTTGCCCAATCGGCAGGATGGCCATTCCGAGACACTTACTTTTGGTCGACGTGCACCGCTCCTAAAATTCATTTTGCTTGATTTTTTAGCATTCGCGGGGTAGAGCCGAGGGATCAAACTTTTGTTTAGTAAAAATCTTATTAAATATTTTTTTGGTCTTTGAAAAACCTCTATCGAACAGCGTTTCCAAAATGACACAGTGATTAAAATTATTAGGGGGTATTTGCCGCCCACCTGTGTAATTTTATTTCACGGCCGTTACTTAATTCTTTTCTGATCTTTAAAACCTACTTATCATAATGGTGCAACAATGTTCCGAGCAGTTCTCCCACTCTTTCTTCACTTTTCACATTCTTCAAACAGCAAACCAGATCACTCGTTCCCGTATGCACGATCAACAGATTACTGTGTGTATCTTGCGCCACCGTAATCCCGGTTATCTAAATTTCTGTTCGTTTTCCGTCCCAAAAAATCTACCTTATCTAGCGTGGTGACTTCTTTCAAGACGCTCAAGCTCTTTGAGTCCAATTTTGCGATATAGCGATCCGTAATCACCAAGGCTCGACCAGCCGATTTGTTAAACCGATTGATTTTCTAAAAAATACACATTATTCAGTCAATGCGAATCGCTTGCCTGAATATAAGATGAAAATAGGATTTGACTAGCTGGATGCTTTTTTAATAGCTCATTTTGTATCACATTCTTGTATTTTTGCACATCACCGCTCAATTCTCCTGGCTGAAATTCGGAATGACTGAATTTGGGATTTCTCCACGATGTTTTACCTGGCTTAGATAGTCTCCCAGCCACATTCTTTGTACACCCGGCCAATAGCCGTTTTTGTTCACTTCCAATGCGGACATTTTTGGCCAGAAGGCTTGTTTCTAAAATTTGTTGTTCGGCGAGAGGGCCAGTTACGTACCAAATAGTCGGGCATTGACTTGTAGATGGCAGCTTTTCTCCATTTGTAGAAAAGATTGACGACTTCTGATCGGAATCGTGAGAGTGATGGGTCGATTGGGGGCAGTTGGGCGTTTGCACCGTAATTTGTCGCACGAAGGACTGGCCTAAATTGACACACTTTTTTATGCTAGTTTTAGATTTATAAATGCCATATTTATTTTATTAAATTAAGTATATTAAATATCTATTGATATGTGCTTACTTAAATGCCATGCAGAACTCGGTGATCATCTCCTGGCGTTGTCTCAATTTATATCGACGATATGCGGTCACGATTTTCCGTTTGGCGATCAGCTTCGCGACGTAGCATCGGAACTGCCATTTCCGTACCGCCTACATTTGGAGTTTTAAAATTTTAGTTTTTACGATTGAATTATCTGGTTTTTTTATGAAACAGTAGAACCTACTGTTTGCATAATCTTGGCCACGCGTGGCAACGCAGCCTCGCGTGCATTCTCAAGCTCAATCAGCTTGTCGGGCGACCGGATGAACAACTAACGTTATGGTTAGAATTTTTTTGAGGTACGGTAAATACCTTTGTTTTTCCCATCACGCTCTCATCCTTCCAGCCCAAATATTTCAAGATCTGTTCGGTTTTGGTCTTGTCATTGTCGTAAGATGGGAAGCGCCAGGTGGTCGGGCAGATCATTTTGTAGCTGGAATAATTTGGTAATGATGAATTCAAGATACTTACCGTTTGACAAATCTGACGTAGGTGACGCGGTGGGCAAAACCAGCTCTACGGACGCGGATGTTTTCTAATAATCCGAGGTAGCGGACCTAAATTGGTTGTATTATCTTTTTTAACGAGGTTGCTATTTTCAAGGGTTTGGGAAGACATAATCATAAGCCCAACCTGATGCTCCACAAGGCCACTATCAAATTTAGCAGCAGATTTGTGATCATTTGGCTTGATGCACCGGATATACCATGGATCACTTTGTGCCATCGCTTGCACTAAATTGCCATTTTCTGATTCCTTGATCAAGCTCACCCAATTCGTCCATACTTTTCTGGAAAAGCCTTCCGGATGTTGGTGGCTTTCGGGTGATCATTTCTTTGTTTGTAGCTCCATCTGGGAACAGGGTTCTGACGAGGGAGGATGAGCTGTAATTTTTTATAACTAGCTTTCAAATCTCGGGAGGTAGGTACTTAATTTTCATAAGTTAAGGGCGTCATACCTTCCGTAGAGCAAACGCTTGATATCTTCATACAGATAATCCTTGTTCTTATCGATAAAACCATTCACGTCATATTTCACTTCACCAGCGTAGTGTTGGATTCTAACCAGTACTCTATCACCGTGAAGGAGGAAATTACCTGAATTCATCATGCCCAATTGCCTTGTCCTTTTGGTTCAGCCCTCGACTCGTATAATGCTGATGACCTTTCAATTTTGTATCCATTTCTCGTAGGAACATCTGAATTTTGCTTAATACGATTTTTGGGGTATCACGTACCTCGTCGGTCACTTTCCCGACTTGAGCACAAGCATCATCCAGAATAGCCAGGATTCCGCGCTTAGGCTCCTCCACCAATTTGCAAATCGGTTGATTGTCGAAGTAGTCAATTTTGACCCATTTTATTGCTGAAAAAGAAAATTCCGCATTAATAATGGAACCCACCTTCACGCTCATATTCCTCCTGCTCGCTCTTCAAAACCAGGGCAATGAAAGATTGCTGAAGCTTCTCGTTGCAGAAATTGATGCACAACTGCTCGAAGCTATTAAGGCGATGAATAAAATACGGTAAAACTTACCTATTTTTCGCAAAAATCTCAAAGCCATAAATGTCGAGAACCGAAATGGTATTACCGTAGGACGATCCGGCTTTTTGTCTTAAAAATAATTCGTTTTGTCGTTAGAAAAATTCTTACTTTGAGTCACTTCATTCACCTTGGCGATGATAAAATTGAATAGTCGTTCATAGATGGCCTTGACAATATTAAAAATTATTATTTTTAAATTTTAAATATCACTTTAGCCATTGCATCTCTTGTGTAGAGCGCACCATTCACGGTATGGTTTTTATTGACGATATCTCCGTGAACTCCGAGAACCTTAATTGCTGGTCATTTTAAAATGAAAGTTATAGTACTTGGGTGCAGAGTGTTGCAGATAGAGAGTTATCGGAGACACCAAGGGCTGAGGCAGCGTATTTTATAGCGCTCTAAAAGAAATGATTTTTGAAGCGGGTTTGAAACCTACACGACTTTCCGGCAAGCAACCTTCCGCTTGCCCCTCCGCAGCCAAAAAACCAATTTCTCCAAGATGGAGAATTCCTGCCAGCACCGACCATATCTAAAAAGGATCTCGACTTAAGTATTCTTACTACCTGCTCCGAAATTTCGTTCGTAAATGACGGAATACTGCGGAATGCGCTTTGCACTTGGTTCATTTCCCTGGCCTCGTCCATATTGTCCACCTAATTTTTAACTGAATTTTACGAAGAAATTACCCCATTGACGGCTCCTTGCTTCAAATAGAAGTATTTCGATGCCTTTCTCTCTAGGTGCAGCTTCCTATGTAAATTTTGGCATTATTTTGGGTTCCTTACTTGAGCGTCTGATCTGGGAGACCTTTTAGCATATTGTAGAAAATATGAAAATTTCTTTCCCCGATTGCTGCCGGACAACGCGCGGCTAAAATCTTATTTTCAAAGTTTTTAATAAACCGGTACACCTTTTCCAGTAAATAACTGTAGATAAAGCCACGGAATGGATCGCCGTCAATGTCAAAAACAATTTCGAATACTTTTCCTAAAATATTACGTTAGATAATGCAAATTTAATCTTAAACTCACCAAATCTGGAAGAATTATCATTGCGATTTGTCTTTGCGCATCCAAAGCTTTCCAAAATACAGTTCGACATCATCAGCGTGTCTTTCACCCTAAAATCGTTGTTCTCAAGGAGAATACACCGCTATCAATTAATATTTCCACCACCATAACACACACCATTAAATAAAAAATAGCCAAATGCAAATGCCACAATAGTTCAAAGAAATTCTAGCGAACTTACGGAGAAAATGCGCAACCACTTTCACTAAATCGACTGGATTTTGAAAAGGGTCTGGAAATACTAACAGTTTGATGTCGGTCTTTCGTTTCTCGTTGGTGACGGCTGCGATGTATCGCATGATGAGTTTGCAGGTTTCCGTTTTTCCGGATCCGGATTCGCCTGAATGATGGTTCAGAGGTCGGATAAGAGTTTATAGACCTGTAATGACGATGTATGAATTTCGGCCAAATCTTTTGACATTGCGGTATGCAGCTTCTGCCAGAGCATAGACGTGAGGGCTGACCTCGAATATTTCTCGGCTTTTGTGGCTAAAGTATGAATATTTTGATGTGGATCTATATTTTTTTGTTACTTACCGTTTGATATATTCATCATCATAAATATTGAGGGTCTGATAGGGGTTCACAGCCACAAGCGTCTCGCCGATGTATGTGTATATCCGCCGGGCATCATAGCTGAAACGTAGAAAAATAGGGTTTTTTTAGAACGTCGTTCGTGAATTTTTGGAGAATTTTAGCGATGATTTTATATTTAAGCATGAATTTCCGTTTCATTTCTACTTTCCAATCCCAACTCGGCTAAAAGCAGCATACTTTCTCAAATCGATTCTTTCCAATTCTTTCCTCAAGACGACAAGATGGATTGAGGGAAAGCTATTGAAGATAGGGATCGCTTCTGTTTGTCCGTTTGTCTGTCTCTGTCTATCCTTGTCCTGCCAGTGAGCCTCTCTCTATAGTTGTAAGGGGGAACTGGTCAGCGGCAATCCAAGAAATTAGCATATGTCGCGCCGGGGGCTATCCCACAGATGACGCCATCTTCTCTTCCCCCGTTCCTCCCAGCTGGTCCGAGGACCGCTCGGGTTTCCTATTAAGGTTAGCTTTAGGGAGATGCAAATGGTGGGCCGGAAAACGACGGAATTAATGCTTCCCGGTAATGAATGCAAATTTCGTTACTTAGTTTTGACATATAATCGCGTAAAAGGTTTTTTTCGCAATTCCAACTAGCTATTAAGTCGAAAACTGCGCGATCTACTTTGCTGTCTATTTGTAATGGCCAGCTACACAAGACGCGCTTTTAAACGCAGAAACGGGATCTCAAGCAAAAATCTAATTTGCAAACATCATTTCGGCTTTTCGGCAACCTTAAAAAACCTTAACCCTTAAAACTTTGCATACTTAATCTTCAAGGATATGTTTCCCTAACCTTCAAATTACATTATCGCTGTGTAACCTCGTGTAACCTGCATTCAAATGCCATTCCCCAATACCTCTTCCCCCGAACAGCTGGATCCCCCGGAGTTTTTGCCTCTCCCCCCTGGGCTTCCAGTTTTCCTTTCAACCCTGGCGGTCAGCCAAGTTGACCCAATACGTTCTAAGCCCCCCTTCAGGGTTCGGTGGGGGTGGTGGAAAGTGGGAGAGCTTACTTTGCATATGTGAGCAATGATCGAAGAGGGCGGATTGGACGGAGCAGACCGATCCGATTATCCCCTCACCCTTTTTTTTTTTTTGTTTTTTTTGGTGGGTTTTTTTTTTTTTTTTTTTTTTTTTTTTTTTTTTTTTTAATTTTGACCCCCCTAAAAAAAAATTTAAGTTTTTTTTTTTCCCCCAAATAACTTAAAATTTTTTAAATTTTTTTTTTAAAAATAATTCTTTTTTTTTTTTTGGAAAAAATATCCCCTTTTTTGGGAAAAAAAATTTTTTTTTTTTTTTGGGTTTTTTTTCCAACCTCTCCCTAAAATATAAAATTTTTTAATTTTTTTTTTCCGCGGGGGTTTTTTCCTTTTTTTTTTTTTTTTTTTTTTTTTGGTTTGTTTGGTTGTGGGGGTCCCCTTTCCCGACCGCTTTTTTTTTTTTTTTTCCCCCTTTTTTTTTTTTTTTAATAATTTTTTTAAATTTTTTTATATTTTTATTTTTGGGTTTTTTTGTTTTTTGTTTTATTTGTTTTTTTTTTTTTTTTTTTGGGGTTTTTTTTTTTTAAACGGTTTTAACAATGGAAATTTTTTTTCTCTCCCCCGGTTAGTTCCCAAATCGGCTCGTTTCCTAACGAGCATCTATCTAGGCCTCGCCAGATAAATTTCGCAATGGGGCCAGGGCCCTGGCTAGGGCCAAATAGGGTTGCGTGGTGACTCAGATCCCTCAAAATGGGATAGTGGTTGCGAAATCGCGATAAAACAGCCAAGGAGCCCGTAAAAATGCAGTAGAAAATTCGACTGCTTAAGGCGTTAAAATCTTTTACCCCAAACTATTACTAAATTACTACTAACTTGTGAAACTCTGTAACCTTCAGTCAAAAATACCGCTTGAAAAATCGCGATATAAATGCCAAAAAAAGCGATAAAATGCGCTAGAAATCAAATTTAAAAATGTGATTTCTTGAAAAGATTGTTAAAATCTTTTGCCACTAGCAAATCTTCCCCCCTAATTTATGCAGCAATTTTTCAAGCAGTCAGCCATCGAGCGCCGAGGTCAGACCTTGGGCTAAGCACGCGCCCTTCCGTGTCAAATGCAAATCACCGAATTTTAGAGGCGCAACCATTCAGTTCTTCGTGCCCTTTCCAAAGCGTTTCCCATCTAGGTTTCGAGGGATGACAATTGCATTTTTCCGAATTAAAACAAAACATCAAAGAATGCAATTTCCCCGAGAAAAGTTGCTAACAGTCTTCGCCTGAACGCCAAATGACAGCGTTCAATTGCTGGATGCGTCACCGATGCCCATTTTTTGGTGGCATCTAAAAATGGGGGACTGAGTTGCTTGTGTATTTGATCGACCGTTCCCCGGGGGGTTGGTGGGCCACTTTTCCGGGGGCCCATTGGAGGAACACCTGTCCAGGGTCGACGAATTGCCCCGAATTTACGGGGTGAAAAAGAGAAAGAGGGCAGGTACGCGACGGGACTGTGTACACCCGATATGTCCGGAAATGGGGCTCTTTCCACCCATTGGGTGGGCCTTTTTGGGTCGATGACCAAGAGGTGGACGGTGTTGTTGGGGATTTTAAACCGGCGATAAAGAGGCGGTGTGAATGGGTTGTGAGTGGAAAGGAGAGAATGGTTTTTGTGGGTGATGGTGGTATGAAGGGTAAGTTAAATAGATCAGAAGAAAATGGGAATAAAGGGTTGTAACTTTAAAAAAGCCTTTGAATAATAAACTTCAAACATGATACATAAAGTTTTGGCGCGCAAAAAAATGAACTTTGAGGTAATTATATATATTCAAAATTTTGTTGACCAACCGCTTTTGGAGGTTTTGGATGACAGAAGGCATGTCGATAGTCTTCAAAAGGACCAAATCCTCAACGACCCGATCCTGCGGCGCATCATGCCCCGAAAGTGGGGCCATTTCTGCAAATCCTAAATTTAAAAAATATACATAGCAATAAAACTAAAAAAAATAAGGAAACTCGAAAATTTACAAAAATTTGTTTGTACCGCCCCAAAAATCGAGCGCAAATACGCGAGCTGCGGGCTGACAAGCGTGGACGCCACTTGCCGGCCCGAGAAACGTTTCGATAAGCGGGCCCCGGCGAATTCTTTGATATTTAAGGGGCAGGGCCTATAGGACGCGGGCAAAAAGGCTGGTCTCGCCTAGGCTGATTCAACGTGCTTTCGCGAGACATGTCATTGATTGGGCTCAAAGGAATTTCCGGAAATTCCTTCCGGAGATTTGATTTGATGGGATTCCGGAGATCATTTAGCCAATAGCCGAGCCCGGAATGTTTTTTCCATGGAATAGAGGGGCTCGGCTAGAAATTTGTTATGCAAATACCCGGTGTCGCGCCCGAACTAGGTAGTAGACTATCGAATGCTGGACAAACAATTGACCACCAGAGAACCAATAAAACCGTAAAACCGTAACGTTTAGAAAAACCGTAAAACAGCTACGTTTAGAGGGTGCAAAAAGTAAAACATTGCACTAACCCACGCCCCGTTGCCCCACGTAAAAAGGCCGGCAAACACACTGAATTATTCTAAGCAAGAGGCGAGCTGGCGACCAGCAGACGAGTAGTAATATGAATGTTCGAGTAGCTATTTAAGGCCTCTCAGTTTTAGTAAATGATATATGGAGGAAGATTCCACAAACACTTGAAACAACCGGTTTTTCTGGGCAAAAAGCGACCTTTAAAGCTATCGGATTTACGAAGGCCACTTGTTGGCTCACTTAAGGGGTCCGTTTATTGCCCTGGAGCGGATCGAGGATCGACTCGGAATATTCAAGGGTCTGTGGGGGGTAGGGAGGGGGGGAAGAGGAAGGGAATGGAAGAGGACAAACTATTCGCGTGCGACCCTTCCGGATGAATTTAACCCCTCGACAAGTCAGAAAGGGGACGGGTCGACGGATCGTGCAAATATTCTAACGGGGTAAGCGATCGTTTGGTACGAATTGTTTTGGGTGGAGACACCGGAAAAACCATGAGAAAAAATTGAGGACGAAATGCAATAAATACAGGTAAAATTTCGGAGGTTGACAAACATTTCGTAGGAATTTCTTTGCGTGGGAAACTTGGAAATGATAGAATAAAATAGAGCGCATTATGCAAATACAAGAAATATTCTGAGCCGCCATTAACTTTGAAAGTATAAACGAACGAATTTTTAAAATAAAACCTCAGAAAACCCTTTAAATACAATTGAGAGCAGTATGCAATAAATAAAAAGACTGAAACAGGCTCAAGTTTCGTTTTTTTTGCGTCGATGGAGTTTTCACGAGATCACCTTTTTTCAAAAATCCTGAGAACACACCACCTCACCCCTATCTAGCCACTGCCCTAGTTCCTGATATGACTTTGTTGCATTGTCATCACAAAAACGCCTCAAAATTCGACTAAACAACACGTTTTTCAGAACCCAGGCCTGAAAAGAATAGTCTAAAAGGACTGTATGACCCTGATGTTACAAAGAAGAAACTGCCACCCGTGGAACTGACTATGCAAAGCGAGAAAAGCGGACGTTTTTCTAGAGCGGCCGCCGGATTTGAGGGCGGAGCAGGATTTTACGGGTTTAGAGGGGTGGGGCGCGTGAAGTGGCTGTGTGCCGGTGGTGCGGTTGAGGCTATGGTCAAGGGAGGGGAGGAAGAAGTGAAATCGCGACCACCGAAAACCTTCCTGAAATCCCGCCTTAGGGTCCATGACTCATTGGGAGCTAGGGTAGCTATAGGGGGAGGAAACGGGGGGGGGTGGAGGGTCGGCTTCCACAAATTTGAATCCCCGCCCCATCCCGGAGGCCACACCCATTACGAGAAGCCGCCCACAAACAGACGGTTGGTGACAGCAATAAATCGTTGAAAACAGGGGCATACCAGTCGCTCGGATGATTTTTAATTTATAGACTTTGAAAAACTCTTGTCGAAAATAGGCAATAGGGTGTCCAAAAATGGCCCGGATCCTGTAGCGGACCCGTAGAAGCTCTGATCGGGATATTTTAAGCCATTCAAAAATTCCAAACATTAAAAAAACGTTTAATATGAGATCGGATTAGGCGTCGAAAGTGGCAATTAACATGTAAACCTGACATAAATAATCTGTTTTTATGGTTTTTGGTCGTAAAGCCGAGCAGTAAAGCCCTTAATTGTAAAAAACGGAAAGCGCCTGTTTACTAAAATTTTAGAGATCTTTCGATAGATACCTAAATCTTAAAATCAGTCACTTCTCACCCGATAGCGAGCTACTTTTTGGACGCTCTACATAATTAAATGTAAAAATACAAAAACCACCCCCTTAAAATTTTGCAAAAGTTGCAAACGAACTACGGTTCGCAACTAGTACATGGAGCAAAGTGGTCCTCCGAACGGCCGGGCCGCTGGGTTTGGAGGTGGAAAAACTTTCAGAGGGTAGAGGGCGAGGCTGACATAAACTGTTTGTGGTCCAGATTACCACCCAGACCCAAGTGCCAGGTTTTCGGGTGAACTTTGAGATGTGTGGGTGCAGCATGGTGAATAGAGAGATTCGTTTTATTCATCTATTTTGAGACCGGGGTCGCCATAAGTTGGTGGGGTATTTCTAGACATCAGACTTTCCAAATGCTTCAACGATTTGGACGAGACTGGCGTAGGTTCCTGAAATTTTACGTTTGAGGTACTGTATTTCCTCTTATTTCCTCCTGGCCTATTATAATCTTCTATTATTAATAGCCTTACTATCGGTATTTTCTTGGGGCCGTTGGAGGTTTTATATTGTTTTGATAGCCGCAATACAAAAATTTGTAGGCAAAATCGTTGATTTTGATAAAATTTAAATTTTAGTGTAAGAAATAAGGTATTTTTTATTAATTTATCAACCTTATTTTACAAACCGATTTGCCTATCCAACTAAAAAAACGATTTACCCGTCGTAAATCCAACAATCGAAAACAGCATAATTGCAATATTCCGAATCCACACCCATTTGGTCAATGTTCCCTTCGAGTAATAACACAGCAATTCAATAAGCGGCGGAAACACCTAAAACCGGATCACCTTTACCCAAAAACTAGAATTACTAGTGTGAGCGAAGTACCGGCCACCGAGCCAACGAGCGAGATGAACAACGCCAGGTGTGGAATTAGTTGTGCCATGACGCCTGACAGCTCATTTTACCCCCCAAAAAATCGAACTCACAGGTGAAGGCAACACCCAGGAACCGGATACCGTAGATGAGCTTTTCCTGCTTTTCGACGGCCACCTGAAGATTGGGATCTATCCCGGACTTTAGAAAAACTGACCTTTCGGTGCACCCATTTTTCCACACGCTCCATTGGGACGTAGAATTGGAGGGGGTAGGATACGAGGATACAGCAAACAAACATTAATTTGATTACTTGGTAGAAGCTGGAAAATTAATAAAGGGTTGGTTATACATGTACCGACATTATTTTTTTAGACTAGCGCTTACCTGCTTTGTGGTAGATTCAATGTAATCGTGTCCATGACGGCAGCGCCATACTTCAGATACCTGATGTACACTATAAGTAAGATAATTGCAAAATCAATACCCGAAAAACCCGACACCAATGTACAGCAAAAGCACCAAGAAGCAAGAAGTGTTGAGGACACCGTTTGCAGAGATGAAGCTAGCTGGTTCGTCCATTTGGTTTTCAATTGGAAGTACCTAGCATTAGGAAAGGAAAGCGTTCGTGAATTCAAAATTAAAAATTACCACGGCTACACCTTCAAATGAGAACATAACAGTTCCGAAGAAAAGCGGTAACGAAGCTAAATCACCGAAGGCCGGAAGTTCGGAAGTAGACCTTTCCACCTGGAATGAAGTAAAAAATGCAGCAAAATTCTAATTGCGAAAATTCACGTATATTTCGATTAAAACAAATATACCTGCAAAATCTCGTAAAGTACGATGACAACAGCAGCTAGGTAGAGAACGTTGGCCATCCCAGCCAATGGAGCAAGAGCCTATAATTGCTATTTCGTGGCTATTTTCCTTCATTGCTAAATGTAAAGCAAAGAGTGAATGTTTTTACCTTCAATTCGCGAATAGTGCATAGCGCCATCAAAGGCACAAGCAAAAGGCCAATCCATCCGGCTTGCGAGATGTGAATGTTGGAAGTTTGATCAAAGAACTGTACGAAATATTTTCGTTCAACCACTAAAGGGGTTGTGTGTGCATGCATGCAACTCCGTCCGTATGTTCCAGTCGTACCCAATAAAGGAGAGAGGGAGCAGATACGCAAGGAGCGAATGATCATGACCGACGCCACCATCAGATTTGAAAACGCTGTTTCGATATTAAAATTAGGTTTGTGAAAACACGCCCATTGTTAGGACGTTAGCATACGCCGGAGTGAGGAGTCCATAGGCTGGGGGCGGTGTTCTTTTTGTTCGGGCGGCGGCCGTGATTATGCGGTTGGGCCCTGGCCGGGGCCGGGTTGGTCGCGAGCGGCTTTTCAACCCTGGTTTTTATTAAATTTACCTGCTTCAGATTGTCTGCCATGAATACAAAATAGACGCAGCAGAAACCGAGTTGAGCAACAAACATGTTGATATTGACGCATTGTCTAAGAAATGCATTTAAATCCCCGGATTCATATTTTGCTATTATAAGGCGAAAAAGGACTAGTAAAATATAACTTACTTTAGCAAAATATCCCCAGCCACGCACGGATGGTGGACCGATTTCCACCGCACTCCTCATCACATTAGCATAGTCCATTCGGGTTTGTCCTTTCCTTGAAATTTTTTGTAAGAATTATTTTAAGACAATTAGTGGCAAAAACGTGCAGACGTCCGCATCTCCCAAAAACTTACAGATGAGCGACGTAATGTTGGGCAAACACCAATTGCCGTGTACAGTAGATGCAAATCAGACAGATGAAGGTAAGCAAAATCATTCCCAAGTAGAGTCCCGAATGTTTGAAGGCAATCGGCAAACTCAGCATACCGGTGCCCATCATTACCTAGAAAGGCTCTAGTATTCTACCAAATTCTTCGTAGAATAGCAACCCTTATTTATCAAATGCTTGATTTATTGTAATACCTTAATCATATGGGCCAATGCCTGTTCCGGCGAAATTGAACTTGCTTCCGTTGGACGTGGAGCAAATAGCGTGCCATGGGAAAATCTTCTAAAGAAAGAAAAACCACAGCTGGCTTTTAAAGAATTCGTAAACATACCTATGCTCCCTGGTCGGGATCATTTCCTGGTGGTCATTCCTATATGAAGAAGCGACAGACATCGTGGCCCACGGCTTCCAGGAAAATAGTGCCCCCGCCGGTTTTTCAGACTTATCGGTAAAGAAAGGGTTGGCCCCGGCAGACTCGCCAGATTTCTTATCTAATTTCGAAGATACTGAGCCTTTCAGCGGATCGATGAACACACTGCTGGGTTCTGCTAAATTACGAAAAGCAGAGCTGTATTGTAAAAATACTGCGTCTATTGAAGGTATTAAATTTAACCCCATCTTTGCAGGCTATAGGTGCCAGTATCCCTGAGTTCGTACAACTTCTGGAAAGTAAAGAACGTTGTTAATTGTAGCTCTGCCTCCTTTTGACGTTTCTTGTGCCTGACACGTCGTAAGGGGCCGTTGTCGAAGAAAAGATTTATTACACCTGTACAAAAGAGAATTTACAAGAATGGTACTTTTTTTGGGGTTTTTGGGTTATGCTTGGATGGGTGTCCGTGAGGTTGGGCCATCCGTATGACGGGTCCGACGATCTGGAAGTGGAATATTATTATCGATGCATATTGCAGGGTTATTCTTTTTTCGTTTTAATTTAGCTTTAATATCCTGAATATACTGAATATTACCTAGTCGTAGCGAACATTGTCTTCAGCGACAAAACGGCCATTATCAGCCTCATGGGCACGACCACGGCGATCCTCGAACACTTCAACACCACTGCGACGATCATGTCCAACCTTCAATCGTCATTTAATAGAATCCATAGAGTTATAAACTCACAATGTCATGATGATCGCTCTGACCATGCTGAGTATTCTGGCCATGATTCTCCCTTTCGTTGCCATAACGGTTCTCATTGCCGTGGCCACCCTGTAAATAGAAAGCTAAAAGATTGCTTCATAGGCACTGTAATATTAAACTAATAAAAAAAGAAGAGAAGCACACCTCAGACTTGAATTTTCCATCAGCCTGATGGAGACGGCCAGCCTTGTCGTGGAAGTCGTTTCCTTGAATTCCGGGCATTTTCACTGATTTGCGATTGCTGAAAAAGGTTACATAATAATGGTTGGGATCGCCAAGGTTGGAAGAAAAGGCATCTTAAAGTCGAAGAAGCCTTCAAAATGACGCTCCGGGGGATATGGGGGAGAAAAGTCGAATTTATGTGTATTGATCCTTTGATAGAGATTCAAAATTAGAATAACGTTTACAAGCCTCCCGGTGGCTCGGTAATGGATTTCGGGAGGAAAGGTGATTTGTGTTGTAATCCAAATCCTAGGAAGAAGTACGTCTTGATAAAACAGCGAAGCTCTAGTAGAACGCTGATAAAATGGTATAAAGAGCGGTGAGAAGAACAGACAATTTTATGTAGTGCTTGTAGTGCCTAAGTTAAGTTATTAAATGTTAGCCCAAAAGACCAGGCGATGGTTTCTATCAGTGGGGCTTGAAGGTAAAATTAAACAGAGCGGGTGGGTGGAGGCTGATGCTCCGTGCTTCATGGCACCCTTTTTATAGAGCCCCAGTCCGTGTTGACATGTATATCCTTTAGTTGACACCCTAAATGCCTCAAAAACAGTCTGGGGTATGCAAATGGCCTGTGTCTATCTCGGCTCTCCTCAACCTAGAGACGGCTTCATCCATACCATCGTCAACAATTGATCAACAGCCAGCCGACCGTCTTGTGGATGTTGACATGATTTCAAAGTGGAGGTGCACTAAATCTCGTTGATCCGAACTGTGTCGTGCCTTATGAATACGAAGAGTATTGGGCTGCCCACGTCAACGACAGAAACCGATTTATACAGAGAGCACGCGAGCAATTTTAAGCATGCCGGCCGATCCCGTGTCGCAAATCTTGATAAAACCAATTTGTAGTTTGAAGTTTCATGTAGAAATTATGATGGTGCTTGAGGATGATGATGGATGATGATAATCCTGGGGCAATAGATTTTTTCATCGGTTGGTTATTATGTCGGGTCTCCTTACACACAGCAGACAAGGTAATGATGGCATACTCCGAAGCAAATTGTATCTTATGCTCCGATTTGTAATTACGTTTAGAATCTCTAGGTCATACATCGAATCTACAACGTAGTGGCGTAGCCGAGAGAATCACAGCGCTATGTGAAAACCACGCTTCAGGAGTGCTTCTACTTTACATTGGCTTTCCGAAATCTGATCAACGATAGTACATCCCCACTCAGAACCAATGTCAACATCTACCAGACTGTCCTCTAAATGTTGATCACTAGATGTTGCCGGTGGTAAGGGAGAAGCAGTCTGTAGATTGAGGAGAGCCGAGATAGACACAGGCCATTTGCATACCCCAGACTGTTTTTGAGGCATTTGGGGTGTCAACCGAAGGACATACATGTCAACACGGATTGGGGCTCTATAAAAAGGGTACCATGAAGCACGGAGCATCATCCTCCACTCAGTCGCCACAAAAATTCATAGCTTTACCCCCCCTTTCCACCTCTCCTCAAGAGCGCATTGAGAAACCTTCCAAAACTTTATATTAATAATGCCACAGCATCTACTTATTAGAATTTGACCATCTATTATGGCCACAGGGCTTCTTTCTAAATTTCGGATTTCAAATGCTGCCGAAGCTCACGGACACAAGTTTGTCCAGTCTTTTTGAACTGTTCCTGCTCGAGGTTCAAATTGGTTTTCTTCGATTCTTTGGTGAACTAGTTACATTAGATAAAGATAAGATGTAAAATTTCTTTTGGCCGATCTGAGCATACCCTTTTTGAGGCATCCGGAACACTGGCCTTACAATAATATTGGGGATACGCAGCTTTACTGTTTCCATGGAGCCTTTCATATTTTTTCAAATCAAAACCCTTTCACTGTTAGAAGGTGCTAATAATGTTTATTGATCTTGCAATCCTCCTCGCCTCAAGTCATATTTTTTTGGGTCTCTTAAGTTTGAATAATAAGGTTTATTAACTTTTTTCAGCAATTGCAAAACAATCAAAATGCCCGGAATTCAAGGAAACGACTTCCACGACAAAGCTGGCCGTCTCCATCAGGCTGATGGAAAATTCAAGTCTGAGGTGTGTTTCTCTACTGTTTTTTTCCTTTTAAAAAATAGTGTTTGTGTGTGTGTGTGTATATTTGCATGCACTTCCGTTTTGATGCACCTACAGCCTGAGGGAGCATTTTTTGGGGAAGAACGTCATAGGGTAAAGAAGGGGCTGGAATCGACTGCACACACATAAAATCTTTGAAAAATTGCTATTTTCGCTATTAAAATTAGGTTTTTGTAAAACTCTTGGCTTGCCTCTTTGTTAGGGAAAATTAGCATACGCCGGAAGTGGAGATGGCTTATAAAAAGGAAGAGAGGGCGCGCTTTTCATTTTTTGGTGAGCGGTTTTCGGCAAGGATTATGCAAAGTCAATAACTTCACATCTAGGGGGCCAGGGTGAGGGGGGGGCGGTTTTTCAACCCTGGTTTAGTTTAATATTACAGTACGGATGAGCAATTTATTACCTTTTCTATTTACAGGGTGGCCACGGCAATGAGAACCGTTATGGCAACGAAAGGGAGAATCATGGCCAGAATACTCAGCATGGTCAGAACGATCATCATGACATTGTTAGTTTCTAAGTCTATAGATTGTATTAAATGACAATTGAAGGTTGGACATGATCGTCGCAGTGGTGTTGAAGTGTTCGAGGATCGCCGTGGTCGTGCCCATGAGGCTGATAATGGCCGTTTTGTCGCTGAAGACAATGTTCGCTACGACTAGGTAATATTCAGTATATTCAGGCTATTAGAGCTAAATTAAAGCGAAAAAGAATAATCCTGCAATATGCATCGATGATAATATTCCACTTCCAGATCGTCGCACCCGCCTTACGGATGGCCCAACCTCACGGACACCCATCCAAGCATAACTCAAAAAACCCAAAAAAAGTACCATTCTTGTAAATTCTCTTTTGTACAGGTGTAATAAATCTTTTTCTTCGACAACGGCACCTCACGACGTGCCAAGCACAAGAAACATGTTCTCTCTCTATTGGTCATTCGAAACCTCTAAACGCAAGACAGCACTCACCGTATCACCAGACTGCCCGCTATTCGGTGCCCCCGGTGCATTACGCTAGTAAATTTTCGAAGCGCGCCTCAGTTCAGAATTTTTGCCTTTTCGGGATTAATTCACGCGCATCAATTTTGGGTTCAGTTTGGAAAAATAGCTTTAGTTACTTTGAAGCGCATGGGACATTTTCGTGAATTTGTTCTCGTACTATTCTTCGAAAATTGCCGTTTCAACGTATTTCATCATGCCTGGTTATTTTGCATTTAGATTAATTCAAACCTTTTATAGGACATTTTACCAACATTAAATGCCTGAATGGATGGACCAAGTACATCATCATGCTCCCTCACGGGAGGTATTGACAGCAATACGTTGTTCCAGACAATAGCTTCATCTTCAACGGGAGCTGTAGTTACGGCTCTTTTAAGTGAGGGGTGATTTCGCCATAGAGATTTTCATTTTAGTGACGCCTATGGACGTCGTAAAGATTCGTCTGCAGCAACAAGTTAGGCCGATAACATCGGTATTATAGTTTTTCTGTTAATACTCCCTGATACTTGAGGGCCAATGCTTCATCTACAGCAATGGTCTAATGGACCATCTTTGCGCAGCGTGCTCCCACCCGAAAAAAGCTGTTCCGTGTGAATGGTATCAGCGGCCGAACTATTTTCATGGGACAATGGTCTTACTGTTTTTCTATATCTCAATCAGGGTCTTTAGGACGCCTTTGTAAAAATCGCTCGATATGAGGGAGTGAAATCACTATGGAGTGGATTATCACCTACCCTGTAAGCTACAAGCACCATCAACAGTGATAATACCTTTACAGGGTGATGGCTGTACCCGCGACGGTGTTCTACTTTTCGACCTATGATGGGCTGAAGAAGTACTTGCAGAAAAAAACGACATCTGAAATCGCAGTCCCTCTATTGGCTGGAAGTATCGCTCGAATTATCTCCGTCACGGTTGTCTCTCCACTTGAACTGATTCGAACGAAGATGCAAAGCGAACAGATGAGCTACAGAGGTGATAAATTTTAGGCTAAATCAAGCTCAGATAACAAAATTCCTCTTCAACCTGAATTTTAATTTTTCAGAAGTTACCCGTGCAATCAAGGTATCGATGGGTACCCATGGAGTAAGGGGATTATACCTCGGATGGGCTCCAACCATCCTCCGTGATGTTCCATTTTCCGGTAACTCTATCTGCTGGGCTGACAACTACCTATCCTTTTAGCCATTTACTGGTCGGTAGTGGAGCTTCTGCGAAGTCGCTTGATCCGGTGGAGCGGACGCGAAGAAACCCACATATGCCTAAGCGCGACTGCAGGTGCTGTTGGTGGTATAGTTGCTGCACTCTGTACCGGTTGGTTTGATAGTTTTGATATTTACTTCATTTTGTTTAGGCCCATTTGACGTTGTGAAGACTCGAAGACAGATCTTGCTCGGGCAGGCACTTTCAACGGGGAAGGCATCACCGTATGCTAATTTGTCTTTTTCGATAAGCAATTGGTTTAGCCAGGCCAGTGTCATTGATGTAATGCGCGATGTGGTTTCAAAGGGCGGATACCGTGCATTGTGGTCAGGTAAATAAAAAATCGTTGGCGAGGTGACATTATCATTTTCTTAGGTTCAACTCCGCGCATCGCTAAGGTTGCTATGGCGTGCGCCATCATGCTGGGCTCGTACGACCAATTCAAGCTGTACTTTGCTCACAAAAATCTTATCACGGCTTTAAAACCTAGATTGTGATAGGCCTAGTGGTTCGCCTAGTGAATGGATAGTTTATATGTTACACTTTGGCCTCAACCCTCTTTTTGTTTCGTGCTCCTCTTGATACGGGCCCCGATGCCATGCACTGCTGTTAGGTCGCCAAAATTGAAACGGCGAAGCATTCATTGTGTTACTGGTTTTGTAAGCTCCACTAGTCCCCGATCAGGTATTTAGTTCGTCCTTGCATTCTCGCTGCCAATCCCCAATCTGTTGTTGCTCGCATGGGCTGCTACGGCTGGCCAGGATCTATTGGCAAAGGTTCCCGAGCTGAGGTGAAACGTTGTGATGAATAAATTATTCGGTGTAACTTGAAAGGTGCAGTGTGACATATAAAATCACCACTGTATCGGCAGTTCATCGAAGCTTTATAGCAAAATGCTTAATATCTTAGCATCTTGAGTCTGGGGCATGTTAGCATCGGAGCCTATGATAGATATTTTTTTAGAAACTCAGAAGCGTCATTTTAATTCGAATGATCGCCTCCTGCGCGGGACCGCAAGAGAGGCAAGGTTTTTTGGATCATCCGATAAATTTCTGTATTAAATTGTTCGTATTTCAGCTAATGTTTTTTTCAACGCAGTGTATAGTAGCCCGCTTTGAAATTTTTAAGTACACCATCCAGGTGCGTCCTACCGGTTGTGTATTGTTGCCCCCATGGCTGGGTATTGGTGGGGCCCTAGGGCGGTGCGTGGTTGGCCATGTGGTGGCATCTTGCCTAGGGGCATGTAGGTGTGGCTTGGCGGGTCATCCACTTACTTACCCGCCATCCACGGTCCAGTAATTGCCGCAATCCAGTTTTTTATTACGTAATCGATTAATGGCTATTTCCTGTTTGCGGAAGAGTTAGAATTTGAAACCTATGCTATGACAATTTTTCATTAAATGCTAAATCTTCGCTGTCTTTCATATTTATGGCACTAACACGCTACTAACACGCAAGCATTCTTGAAAATCATAGTGTTATTGGCATATCTGCTTGAATTCAGATTTCAAACGTAGGAAAAATAACCCTTTCGTACTTATTCAAATATCGGCTTTCAATTAGCTACTTCTTATTTCCCGAGTAGATGAAAGTCTATCCGTTAAGCCAGTGGGTTAGGTCATTCATCACGCTCTGAAGGCGTTAATCTCGGGAAACGCAATAGTATCTGACATGTAATATAATCCTAACTTGTCCCGCATCCATTGACCAGACCTAGCGAATGCCAAAAATCCTCTGTACTGTGCGGCCCATTGGACACCGGCCAGCTGTGCCCCACATTTCTCATGCCAGAGCCAAAACGCGCTACAGTTGGTCTCCTTTCGCGTTTGATATCTTATATTGATTTTTTATATCTAGTCTACTTCTCTATTTATAGCTGTAACTGTTGCCCAATATGTTATGCGATAGGTAATAATTGATTTTCGCCTTGGCAAGCTTTGATCAGAAAGAAAAAGTCTTTTATTCTAAGAAAAGTCTGGATATTCTCGAAAACCGCTATGATTGGCAGTTTGCCGAAATTTAGCGTCCTAGTCTCTTGATGTTTGGCAACGGCTTGGCGGCAGATCGAGATAAAATCTCTTGCGGTGCGAATTGCCTCCGGCAGCGCCAACCCAGATACAGAGAGGACACAGAAATATTTGCAAACGTGTGAAGTCTAGGCAAATATACGCCACTGCAATTCTCCAAAAAAAGCATTCTCAAATTTCTTCTTTTCTACTTTTACTTGCCTACGATTAATCGTTGGGACTGTTGGGTTGGGACGGATTCCCGTGGTAGTGGTAGTGTAAGCACGCCGATGACACATCCAAAACAAATGCAAGGAGCCCATCTATAATGGCCATTCCCAGCTTCTCCCATCGTGTTCGGTGTGTGGGGAATAGTTCACAAAATTGGCGCGAAACGCGCTATGCCAAAGAGCGAACCCCCTTGCGACCCCTACCCTTCGGAACGCGACAGTTGGAGGGCGGCTCTCGCTTCCGGCGCTTTGCGATTGGCTACTTTCCCTTTCCACTACTCTACACATGTATTCTATATGTATTTGACTTTTCAGTCGTTGAATACATCTTTGTATATATTTTATTTTAGAGGTCTGCTCTCTACATAATGCCTTTATTGGGCCAGTCTAAGGCAGCTAATAAGAAGGTGCTAGGTGAGTACTATTCTTGATTTCGTGTCCAGTTCAAAATTCATAAACCCTCCTTAGATAATTTAAAGCAAATTTTTAGGCGAAATTGGAAACAAGCCGAAGGTGGGAAAGCAAGGGAGCCTTCCGCCTACCCCGAAAACGCACAAAAAGCGGGGCCGTAAACCGGGGACTGCGATGCCACTGACTAATAATTCGGGCCATTGTACGAAAAAGAAACACGACGGCAAGCCGGCGAAGGAAAATATTGTGGAGGAAGATCCGGCAGATGATGATGATACAGGGAACGAGGAATATTACGTTGAAAGCATCAAGGAGCATCGGGATGCAAAGTCTGGCCGCAGTTACCTCGTCTCATGGGTTGGATATGAGGAACCAACATGGGTTCCACAAGAGGCCATGAATTGCCCTGACATTCTCAGCAACTACTTGCAGCGTCATGAAGCGGTTTGTTTGCCTACGATATAGAGATTTTGGTGAAGCAGCGCAAAATTCCTTCTATCCTTCTAAAAATTTCTGTATTTTAAAAACAATCAATTTCGGATCCTCAACGCGATTGACCACCTAGGTTTATCCTACTATACAGGGTGTCCCAAAAAAAAACCCCCCCTACCTAGCGGTCCGCGGTCAAGTCCGATTTATGATTTAACTACCAATCGAAAGCTCTCGGAAAGGCGAGAAAACAAGCGGGTTTCGTTTTCTAAGATTTAATCTGATTCTATCGATATTTCAGGTTTTCCTAAAAAACCGGGAATTTTTCATCAGGAATTTCGCAATTAGCATGCAGATCTCGCATAAATCAGCAGTTTTCATGGTTTTTGGACATAAAATTAGTAAATAAAAAGGCTTAATTAAGAAATTCAACCCTCCTTGTTTTCTCGCCTTTTCGAGAGCTTTCGATAGATACCTAAATCGTAAAAATCGGAATCGACTGCGGACCGCTAGGTAGGGGGTTTTTGGGACACCCTGTATATAAAAAAATAGTGTCTGTGGTTTTGTGTGCCACTTTGCATCCACTTCCGGATGTCTGTCCGGAAGATATCTCGATAGGGGATGAATTTTAAGGTATGTATGATACGTCATTAGATGAGTAATGGCCTTGAGATGACTGCACGCATATCAGATTTAACAAAATCACTTATTTTCGACATTAAATTTCAGTTTTTGTAAAAACCTCTTTGTTGGGAACAATTAGCGTAGACCGGAAGTGGGGCTTGGACTATATAAAGAGGTAGAAGAAGTGGTTTTTCATTTTTGCCATCTCAATTCAGGACGTATGCAAAGTGAAGGATGCCAGGGTTGAAAAGTCGCGAAGCGGCTTTTCAACCCTGGTTTTATGATAAAATCCTCTTTGACCCTATATTGTTTTCAGAAGCTCAACGATCGCATAGCCCAACTCACAGAAGAACTCGCGAAAGCCAGACGGGTAGGCACTTCACAAATCTTTCCTAAAAATGAGTTCTAACCAACTTCAGGTTTAGGAAATTGTGAAACTCGGCGGAAATGTCGATGCCCCTGCTGCTGCTCGCAAGAAGCGATCTGCGATCCGCAGCATTAACGGAAGATTTATCCGGTATTTTCTTAAACACACACTGGGATACTAGCTCTTCAATAACTTTAATAAACTTTTTGCCGCTAATTCGCATAGATCGATATTTTCTCATTTAGGAGGACAAAGCAACAAGACGTAGCTCGGCGTGACGATTCTGAAGAGGTGCGTACCCTAATAGGTTCCTTCTGATTCAGTTTTCGTTTATTTAGGAAGATGGCGTACCTGATGACGAGTCCGCTAGCGTATGTAGTAATTCGACCGATACCCGGAGCACCGAGTCAACAGGGCCCGCGTATGTTTCTTGATAATTTAGTGCAGTTGACTATTGTTCTAGGAGACTTTGAAGCTGTAATTTAGAGAGAAGATGGCACGAACAACGTTCAAGCCCTTTTACCACCAAGGCAAAATTGCCGACGGTGTGGAATTAGTGGTGGCGCCGGCTGAAGGAAAGGGTGAAGGTGTGTTCACGAAGAAGGCCCTTAAAAAGGGTGAATTCATCGGGGATTATGGAGGATTCGTCTCGCTTACAAGCGCATCCCAGGCAATGGATTCTGACTATCTCTACATGACCACATTTGTAAGTCCTCCTCATCAGAGTTAATTTTCGCCTAGCTACTGCTGCTAGTAAAAAAATTCTTTTTAGGGTCCTGAAGGTCATCCCGTCATCATTGATGCTGCTCCACCGCACGGAAATGTTTTCGCAAAACTTAACCATTCTTGTCGACCCAATCTTGTTGTAAGTTTTATTTTTGGGGGGCAGCGAAAGCCAGCTCTTTTTTGAAGTTTGGCTTATATCCTTCCTTTTACAGCCGAAAGAACTGCCAAAACCAGAACCATCCGGCATTTTTGCTGTTGGCTTCACAACTCGCCGCTACGTCGCCCCGGAAGAAGAATTGACAGTGGATTACACGAGAACGTGGTGGAAGGCGAGGGTGAGTTTCAAAGTTTCTTCTCAAACCCCCACAAAATTTTCTCGTGGAAATATTTGGGGGTCTCCAAAATGCGCAAGCCCGGGGCCCCCATCGCCACAGTAACCGTAATTGACAGCACAACACCCATTTCCGTGCCGCGTCTTGATACCTCGAATAAGCCCCCAGCCCCATGGAATGGAAATGTAGCCATTAAACGAATAAAAAATTCCTGAGTTTTTTTTGATGAACCTCGTTTAGCCGGAAAAGGTGTGCATGTGCGAGGAGGTCAACTGCAAGTGGACGGACCCAAGGAAGGAGGAGGACTAACGAACATTATATAAAGTACCATATTCTTTCATCGCATATCATCATAGTGCATTGTTATTGTCATTTTTGAACGGGATAACTGTTTTCGCTTCATGTCCTTCCCGTTCTAGGGCCGTCTCTTTGCTTTATCGTGCCACTTTCATTGGATTCGTAAATTTGCGATTCTATCCGAATATCCATTCACTGCCTTTTATTATTTTGCCACTTGCGTTCAAACCTTTTTTCAGCCTCATCTTGGAACTTTTTGCTTTAAGCGATTTTGTGCCGTTTTGCTCATTTTGTTTTGCTCACAAATAATTTATCAAGATGTTGTAGATAAAGTTTTTCAATTAAACGACAATTTCAAGCTACATTTTGTCGAAAAAATGCCGTCTTCTAACGGTCGTTGAAGTATCCTGCTATTAAGATATAGAAACGACAAAAGTGGAAGTTCGTGGCGTGCGTGAAATGCATCTAAATCTGGTGAATCGCATTTTTATGAAGCTTCCCATGGGGGATTCGGTTCATTTGATGAATCAGAAGCGTTGTGAGGAAGTGCTCCCCAGTCCATATTCCAGATCGATCGACGGTTCTCGGCTGACGATGTGAGGGGGAGAGGCAGAAGGCAAAAACGATGGCTGTGGCCGTGAAGGGCCTACCTGTCTCTGAATGTCTGAACCCTCTCTATCTAGATCTCATGTCTACTCCCTCCCTAGCCGACAGCCCTATCCTTCACGGCCACACCCTTCTTCCTCACGGCGGCTCATTTTCCGCCATTCTAATAAGCTCCTCACCGGATTTGCGCAGCTCCCGAAGAGGGGTTATATGCGAATTTTTTTAGCATAGGTATCCTAGAGGCTAAATTTAATGAGGAAACATTTGTTAGTTAGTTTCTTACTCAGTTAGACTGAAAGGAACAATCGGGGGTAGCAACCATTTCACCTGGTATCCAGAAAAATAATGCTTCAGTAAACCGAGAAAATTAGCCACCAGAGAGCCTCAAACGAAAGCTCGAATAAAAGCTGCTTTCAAGCTTTTAGGTCATTTATTGAACAAAACCATGGGGGCGATCCAGATATATATATATATAGCGACGCTAGGTTGATACCCGAATTAACGGTAGTCGCGCAGGAATTAATACCTAAAGTATTCCTTTCCTTTAATCATGTCAAAATATGTGCTTAAATTGGATACAAAAGACATACGGTGCTCGGAGGCTCCGTCCCTTAACTTACCACCCTAGCCTAATTTCATGCCGTAAGCGAATGCTCGCCGGGCCAGCCGTGCAGCGGCTCTCTGCCAACCAGCCAATCCTTCGCTTTGAAGGCAGACAGACTTTGCTTGCGTGAAACGTTATTTTGAAAAAGCTATCCTGATTTAGCCTTGCCGTTTCTGTACTAAATAGGTGTCTATGTATAAGATTGTTCTTGAAGGGTAAACAGACACGATGCAACGTCCCCGGGCCGCCTCATCATCTCCTCCGGCCTCTCGTGCTCGCATGACCTATACTGTCGAGGTAAAACAAAATCCAATAACTTCCACAATCTCTCGGTCAATCAAAGAAATTATTTTAAGGCTCCCGAGACGTTCCTAATTCAGCAACGACAGCGATTCGCGCGCGCTATGAGGAGGGAGCAAGAGCATCTGATTCCTAGGGTGCGTTCTGACTATTTTATGAGAAGAAGGCAATGGAGAGGGTGGCTCGGTTGCAAGAATATTTTTGTTAAGGCTGTGATTGACGACATGGCTCCGCTTTCGCCAGCGACCATAACGCGTTTGTTGGAAGCACAAGTATGGCAAATTTTCTACTTCATGATAATTAAATTAGTATTAAGGGGTTTGCCTGGAAGAGTAGAAAGAACAAAATAAAAAGAATTAGACGAAGGAATAAATTCAGGATCCGGATGCAACCCTGCAGGAGATAGAAAGGAGGCTGGAACGAGAAGCTATGGAGTTGCGCGCAAGAACAGGCCAACCTCAACCGGTGGTGAGTAAGGCCTTACAAGGGAACCACCAAAGGTGTGTTGGGGGGTTTGGGGGGGCCCACAATTTTTTTATAGAATATATATATGGGGGGCCCCCAATAATAATTAAAAAAAAAAAAAAAAAAAAAAAAAAAAAAAAAAAATTAAAATATTTTGCGGGGGGGGGAAAAAGGAGAGGGGGCCAGCAAAAAATTTTAAAATTAAAAAATTATTAAAAATTTAAAAAAAAAAAAAAAAAAAAAATTTTATAATATTAATTATTAAATTTTTTATATTATTTAAAAAAAAAAAAAGGGGGGGGGGGGGGGGGATAGGAGGAAAAAATAATAAAAAAAAAAAAAAAAAAAAAAAAAAATATAAAAATATAAAATTTTAAAAAAAAAAAAATAAATAAAAAAAAAAAAAAAAAAAAATATAAAAAAAAAAAATTATAAAAAAAAAAGAAAAAAAAAAAATAGGGAAAAAAAGGGAAAAAAAGAAAAAAAGAAAAAAAAAAAAAGAAAAAATAAAAGAAAAAAAAAAAAAAAAAAAATTAAAAAAGGTAATAATAAATAAAAAATAAAAAAAAGGAAGGGGATAAAAAAAAAAAAAAAAAAAATAGGTAGGGGGGGGGTTCGTCACGGGGGCCCCGCCCCGGGGGTGTTAGTTTTCAGCGCAACTAACGTGAATCGGATTCATCTGCCCTTTTTAGTATCCGCCTATACAATATCCGCTACCACCAGCTTTGCAAGCCGTTGTCGAAGCGGGAGCGTTGCTGGATTTTCCAGAGCTACCAACGGTAAATTTTTCATAAAAATTTGTCCATGAAGTCAATTTTCTAACCATCTAACTATTTATAAAAGATATTTTAATGAAAACTATTGTTTTAGGATTTACCGGCTACACGGGCTCAGCGACCACGACCATACGATAGGCCCCAAACGGTGAGTGTTCAATCAAAAGTATATTGGCGGGCTCGGACCGCTAACTCCGAATGTAGTTGTCAAGAATTTTATTTTAAACCCCGTTAAGCATATATTAAGAAAACTTAGATATTTACTTAGCGGTAACTTAATTCTCATCCAATACGATATCAACATTACGTCACCTTACAAGATAACATATGTTTAGTCCAACGAGGAATACCCGCTTCCACCGATCCGTCGCCGACACCGTATCAACGTCCCGCTGGTGATCGATAACCATACAGTGCCGTTAGTGCTGCAGATCGAGCTTGAAGCGGAGGAACGTCCAAATCAGCTGATGGACGTAGATCGAAACGATCAAGCCAATCCAGAGGGCCGAGGCGAGGAGAATGCGGAAAATGCCGAAAATGTCGGACGAAATCCCCGGGCTATCCCCGGAGAGACTGTTCAACAAGTGCAAGATGCTGCAATTGAGGTATCCCATTGTCGAGTAAAGTTGTTATATTTATGCTTTAGACAACTCGAGATATGGCTACTCGTCTTGGTGATTTGCTACAATGGCTTGCCGAAAACAATCGTCATGATGTAGGGGATTTCCTGAAAATCAACCTATTATTTTTGTTAGAACGGCAATCAAGTGGTCAATGGAATGAGTGCGTTAGTAAATTTGAATCGGCGTGGGAGCAATTTTGTCGATAGGCCTGGGGTAAGTTGAATTCGAAAAAAACGAGTAAATGTCTAGAATCTATAAAAGTAACGAATTATTACAGGAGACATATGATGAAGCCCGTGAGCGCGTTTTTGCCGAACTAGCTGCAATGCGGGAGACTGTGGTAAGAGACGTTTTAAATTCACCCCCATTATACTATTAGGCGGCAATGAGTGAGAGGCTGCTAGCCGCTTCTCGCCGGGTTCCAGAAGCTTCTGGCGATGTTGCGAAGCACGCATGGCACAGCTTTTTCCGATGCCCAGATTGCTCATCTCCATGTATGTCAATTTTCACACCCCAAAAATTTATCTACTCCACAAATCTTATCCTTCTAGATGGGCAAAACACACAGCCCTGCCTGGTCCGTGACGGAAATTATCTGATTTTCTGCCGCGATTGCAGCGTTCGCCGCTACCCGGTAAACCTGATGGGAGCAATTTGTAAAAATTTTTAGAATGCCGTTGGAAATGAACGGCAAATGATCTACCTGCAAGGAGGTAGGGATACCCAAAAATTTAAACAATTAACTGGCTTTAGATATCCCATTTTATCCAAGCCGCAAGCAACTTGAGTGTGCTGTTTGTTTCATTGACTGTGAGAAAATGACAAGGCCATTGGAATAAAACGGTTTTAGACAATCTAACCACCCACCGTCCTTTGGTACTGTCGTGTGGACATTTGCTATGTACGAGTTGCTACACTCGACTCCAGAGTCTGCAATGCCCTATTTGCCGCTGTGAAGACCTGAAATACTGCAGTGTAGTCGGCGACTATGTCCAAAGTATTGCATTTTTTTCAAATTTGAGCTTTTCGTCTATCAGGCATGCTAAAGGAGCTTCGACAAATGAAGGCATCGCAAGAAGAAATCCAGAAAGAGTGGGAGCAGCTTACCACTGGCATTTGTCAATATTGCACGCATGAGGTCCGGCAATAGTATTATTTAAATCGACTTCTCTTAGACGCCAAAGGATGAGCTCCAGATGTGTACACGATGCTTTGGACGGATGGTAAGATAGTAAGGATCCAATTTTATGTTATTTTTTTAGTCATGTCAGGAATGTGCTCAACAACGACACGCCGGTCTTGGACATGAGCTGATTCGCTGCGCAGAGGTATTCATTTTAAGTAAAATTTAACTACAAAGCCCAATAATTTTCAGCTTCCACCCATCGAAGAAAATCCAGATGCTTCAGAAGTTCCATTAGAAGATGTCATCCCCCATTCTTCTGCAGCCACGACTAACTAATCACAAATGATCGTATACTAATCATCTTCTCATTATTTAGTTCTCTCAAATAGCAATTTCCTTCCTTCCCCAAATTCCTCACAAGTTCCAATGGCATTTATTTAAGCACAATCTAATTGACCCCCATTAAACTTTAAATAGTCATAAGAGTTTTAGCGCGCTCCTCTATGTAAAAATGTCATATCAGACTACTTGGTTTCAAATGTCTATGAAGACCTAGCATGTTCTTGAGATTATCAACGCTTTATTTAGTCTCAAACTTTCGTTTTTCTGCGTTAATTTGTGCCAGATCTTCTTGGCTCGATACCGTACAATGTAAATTGCTGCAACGAGTCCGCTTCTATCCCCATGACTCTTATACACCCGCGCTTGGGGAACGAGAAATTCTAGCATGCTTCACTGGTCTCTTCTAGAAAATCGCTAGTCTCTAGTTTAACCATCTTGGGTCATCTTTGTGTTAAATTTTTTTCCGGTTTTCCAAAAGTCTGTCCGAATTTCGAAAATGGTGAGCTTGAAGTGACAAAGGTCGATAAAACCCACAAAACCACAAATCATTCCTAAATTGAATTCCAGTGATTTTTCCACCCAATCTTGCCAGTATTATTTTTTATCTCCTGTGCTCCATTTCCAAGGGCTAAAATTTATTTCTTGCTATTTCTTTCAAAACCGTAAAATATGCCATAATTGTATAAATTTTCTGGAAATCATGTCGCGAAAAGTGCATATAAGGGAATTGTTTGTATGGAATTACAGGAAAATTACTCCTAACAAACTATATTTTTCGCCAGTAAATCAGGCGTCTTGGGCTCCGATCCAATGCTTTATGCAAATTCCCTGCAATTTGGCAAATACTTGTAACTCCATTAATTTATGATCGTCCACTCGATATTCAAAATAAGCGCACAACAGGTTGGCAAATCGGAAAAAAATTGTCAAGGCAATGATGAGTGAGGGAGGTGGATTCAAGTATTGGGACAGCAGGGTACATGGGGGGTGTAAAGCGAATTTACATAATACACGGTTTGGGTATTTTAGGGCACGAGGATCCTGATTTTGGGCACGGAAACTTGCATTGCATAATATGCATATTTTGGAAAAGTGGTCGGCGGTTTAAAGGCATTGGACTCGTTTGGGCATTTTGTTTTTAATAATACAATTGGGCATCCTGGGATTGGGCGGCTTGGGCCATTTGTTCTGCTTGTGCTGCGCCGAGGCCAGCCTTGTACTCTTGCATCTCCTGAAATATGGCTGTTTTTTACATTAAGAATATTTAAAAATATAATTCAAGTGACAGAATACTATGATTTATATTGATATCTAAAGTATTAGGATTCTGCAAAAAATACAAACCACAGCATATCGTTCTTTATCAGCCGCTGCTCGCTGTTCGTAAATATCCCGATCTTCCAGCGTCATATCCTTCCACATTCTTCCCAGCTCTTGTGCCACTAAAAATCAATAATTAAACAATTAAAGTGAGAGCTAAATAAATTCAGGGCTTTCTATCTCACCTTGCATCACCTTCCATTCGACATGCTTTGCTTGCACTTCTGGTCTTCTCTCCTGTGAAAAGAAAAAGAATGCAGAAAGGGCCCGTTTCGGGGCATTTGGGTCCTTCTTCGGTCTCTTTCTCTTTCGGGTGTGGTCCTCCCCACCGTATGCCGCTACCTAAAACTCACTCTACCGTAACCCCTTCTCGTTTCTCATTACCTCGGCCTGATAACGCTCCTGATCTTTTTGGGCTAATTCGTAGAATCTCCGCTTCTCATCGTCATTCATCGTCTTAAAATACTTTTGATTAAATTTGCCAAGACATTGGTATTTTTTGCACATTTTTATTTCGGCTCAATAAGCTAATTGACTTGTGCAAATACCGACCTTCCATTTATCAGAGCATTTCTTCGAAATCTCAGGCACTTGCACGTTCTCATTAGGGAACTTCTTTTTGTGCTCCTCATAACACATTTTGACGAAGAATCCATATGGAGACGTCTTCCCTCTGACGGGCGGTTTGGAGCACTCTCGCATTCTGATTGGCGCGTATTCCATTACCTTTAGAATAGCTAGTTTGAAACTGAGCCAATCAAGGGTAATGGAGATTAATTGAAAACAACTTATGGAAATGGGATTGGAATTAAAAATGTGAGAATGAACAAGGGAAGGATAAGGGACAGATTTAAATGTAAGAGAGGTAGCAATCACTAAAAACCGTACTCGAAAATCCTTTTAGCCTATCCGTTTGAAATCGAGTCAATGAAAGGTAATGGACATTACTTGATAAGCATTTGTGAAAATAGGATTTAAGTTGAAATGAGGCAAGGACCAAGAAAAGGAGCAATTCAAACCTGAGGTAAGTAGTGGTATCATTACTAGATACCATGCGCGAAAATCCTTTCCGGTTTCCCAGTCCCTTCCGAAACCTACCAGGAATAGAATTCAAATTCGAAGCCCCGCGCAATACGGTGAAACCGGCTATAAGCCAAGTTTAATTACAAAAAAATACGAGAGAGCGTGGCTTGGCGGAGGGGTGGTACGGTGAGGAGAAGATGGTAGGGGCAGCGTGAAGAGGGGACAGAGGTATAATGAGATGTGTTGTGAAGGGATTGTGAGAGGGGAAAGGGTAGCTAGAAATCTAAAAGATGCGGGGCTGGGGGGACAGTGTGGGGTTGGGGTTGGGATCACGAGGGGCCGGGAGAGGGCAGAATAGGCCATCCAAGGCAAGAGTCACATCGATCGGGTGGAGGGGGCAGACAAATAGTGGACTGGAAAAGAGCGAGAGAACACAGCTATACGAAGAGGGAACACCAGATGGTGAGAGAACATCGACAACGAGACCCTGAAGTCGAAACGCTGAGGCGGCAGATGTTGCCATTGTACGTAAACATATGGAACGGAAATGGATCGCTATAATTAATCATAGGAAATGAGGAAAAGAGCCCATGAAAAGCTTTTACTGTGGAGGAATTCGAGCAATAATGCAGGGGAATCGGAGCTGCGCTTCAAAAAATGATGCAGTTTTTCGTAATTCATTTCCCTAAAATGTTTTCACCCTAAGATCCAAATTTGCCAATTTTTTTCTAAGGTTAAAAAGACCTAATTACCTACCTTCAGCAGAATTGACGGCGCGGCCGGATTTTTATTTAAAAGCGAGATTTAATTATCAAGTATAAAGTATAAATAAAGTATTTTAGAAGGGTTTTTAGTAAGGTATCTTAAGTTAAAAAACGACAATACCATTAAGAATGTTTTTGGCTAAATTTAACTCTTCTTGATAATTTCTCAGTAATGTGCACCCCTGTAATCTGTAATATTTATCGCTTCTCGATAACTCCACTGTAATGTACACTCATATCCTGCAAAACTAGCCCATACACTATAACAAAAACCACCAACAAGCACCTAATGACAGTTCGGAAATAACGAAAAATAAGCTTGTGTAAATAAAAAATGTACTATCACACCGGCAAAAGCGTAAATATTTTATTGCACATTCCGTACTGAGATGACATAAGGCATTTTGGTCCTTGTCTTTGGTTGGTCGCGCAAACCCTGACGTCGTTATCACCAGAAGAAGGCTCCGAACATCTCGTTCCTGAAAATTTACGACGATGATCGACAACAAAACATGCATAAGCCCACTCCACAAAGAAATGAAACGGGTTAGCCATTTTGGATAAAGGGATGGTGAGGGCAAACTAACGAAAGATATTCACCATTCCTTTAACCGTAGAAGTTAAGGACACCCACAACGCCGACACACACCAGGGATTGTGTATGAATATTAGCGCTGGTTGAGGGGTAAGCTTTATTTTTACAATAACAATTTGACTAGATGAAAGTAGGATTGACTATAATCGGATCAATATTTTTGGTGTAAGCACAGGGAAATTTTTCTGGTGAAATATATAATTCTTTGCATATCCTGAAAGCTAGCCATTTGCGATAAATAAATGCAAATAAAAGGCATTAAATTCTAAAAAGCCAAGAACCAATTAGACTAGATAATTTCACTATGAGGAAAATCGAGCAGAATTTAGGGAAAGGTATTTGAAACCCACACACAAACGCACTATGGAATCTTGAAGCCATTAGGGATGTTCCCGTCAAAGCAAGAAAGGCAAAGGTATTATGACAAAAATAGGGATGATGGAGGGAAGCAGATTACACAGAGGGAGAATTTAGTTCTCTAAAAATATTCACTTGTGGGCAGCCTGTTTGCTCGGGTGGCTGGATTGGAAGACCGAGCTGCTTCCCATCAGATTTTGGATATATTGGCCGAGTACCTGGAAGCCGGGCTCGGTTAGGTATGATGATCAGCAAGTTTCGAACGTCATCGAAATTGTCTAGTAATAGCCTCGTCTGTAGGGCGAATAAAAATACGCTATTTAGTATTGCGCATAAAACTCATATTTTTCCTGTACCAACCTGATTTTCGCTTCGAAGCCGCAGGCTTTCTTCTTTGACTGAATCGACCCGCTGGCTGAGATCTAACAAACGGAATTTTGAAGAGTATGCAATTTTTAGTGCATTAGCTTTGCAGAAAAGCCGTTAATAGAACCTTCGCGATATGTTACCCACCATCCAACGTATTCTGAAGCTCGAGGACTTGAGCGATTGTGCGTGCCTTTTCCTCTGGATCCTCGGGAGGTTCCTCACGTGGTAACGGAGCTGCCGGCCTAGGGGTCCGACCAGACATCATTGTGATTTCATCGGCTAAAACAAAATCGGTTTATTTTCCTTCATTTTGATGCCTAAAGGGTGAAAAAATGGGCATATATCCTCTTTATTGACTGACATTACGGAACCGACAACATTTTACACCAGGTATTTTGCTATAGATTATGCTTACATTACTAAATCTTCAAATTGTTTTTATAAAGCCGGTTTTGTTGCGAATAACCTATCGCGCTATGCCAAGTGAAAACCAAGCCACACGAACGCTTCAAAAAGGTCCTGCAGCCCGGCCTACCTTCATCTGCAAGCGGAAAATCATCGTGGTCCTTATTTTCTGACGAGCTGGCCATTACAATAATTTTTCGGATGAGAATAGAGACTAGAAATGATTTACCAAACTGACTCAACCAGCAACCAGCCGGGCGGGTGGCAAAAAGCCAAAATCAATGGGGCTACGCGGGAGAACCAGAGACGTGGCGCTCTCTTACGTCGCCATTATCCAGCCTTGCCAACTCGATCTTATTACTACCAAAATATTTTGTTTATTTTTGCCGATTTCGTTGCTAAATCTAAATTGTTTCCTTTCATACTCAAACGAAACATCTTGTTTCTGACTTTTGCCATTGTATGGTCAAGACATGGCGGCGAAAACGTTCTATCCAAAAGCAAATCGTTATATTTTGCAAATTATTCGCGAATACACCGTTACGGGTGTGAGCAGCGCAGAATAAAAGCTATACAATACGTTTTAGTTCAATTTACGCTTGAAACGGGGGCATCTAAGTTGGTTATAGACCGAGGAACCGGTGCCAAAATCTGAAAATTTCCGACGTTTCACTTTTCTTTCTCTCAAACTTCATGTCTTTGAACAGTTCAGACTTCATCACGTTATTTTTTTCAGGCGGAAATGATCACTGACGTACAATTGGGCATTGCTGCAAACATCATCGGAATCGGCGTCTTCGTGCTCGTCGTGCTCTACCACTACATCATCGCTAACCAGAAGACGCAATGATTCAGGTGATCTTCTATTTAAGACAATATATTTTTTCAACGGTTATTTTCGTGATTTTTGCTTTATATAACTAAAATTCGGGTTCCAGGTCTCGACCATCCACTCCAGTCACCACAAACGCCAAATTCTGTGATGTCTTCAAGGGTTCACTAACTATGGGATGACTGCTTAACCCAAGCATTTTTTGCTTTAATTTATTTTTTGGTTGTTTGATCGTCTTTGTTGGTACTGAATAAATAATCACTGGAATATGTCGTTCACCGGTATTTGGTTACTTCCAATTTTATCATAGCGAACAGTGGTTACAGGATATGGATTTCGCCTCGGTATTATGGCATGGCACGACTTGTAATCCATTTTTAGGTATATTGACCTCAGCATGTCTACATATAATGAATTTCGACGTGCAGGCTCTGTGTGAGTTAGATAATTTAGTTCCATCTTTTCGTTTAGGCGCTCACAGGATGATTCGCGCATCAATAATTTGGACAGCTCGCGGCTCACGGCATGGGAAAAGGTAATCTGTTTTCCACAGCTTTTGGTTGTCCTCTGAAAGTATGTGGGCATTACTAGTCGACAGCAACGTCGATCGTTACAACAATTTCATTTTCAGGTCCGTAAATACAGCCGGCGTCTGGTCTATTTCCGACAAATGGATTTTCAACTGGCTTCCTGGCAAATGCTCTGTCTTCTTGCTCAACCGCAAGCCGTCTACAAGAATTTCCTGTACCGTAAACGTATGGTTTTGTCTGTAGTGTTCAAACTCCAAATATAGGCTCCAAGGATCAATATGCGCGCGATGACCCGGCATTTCTCGTGTTGCTCGCTGCATCACTGATAGGCACTTCTATCCTCTATGCGGTAAACTTATTTTCTATTCGGCAATGATTTTGTTTTGCAGTTCTGTCTGGGCCTGTCGCTTTGGGGCTTCATCAAATTCGTGCTCTGGGTTATCTTCGTCGACTGTATTTCCTTTGGAGCCGTCGTTGCAACGATCCTTTGGTAGGCAGGCCCGTGATTTTCTGTAGTTTGTGTTTTGCAGGTTTATCTCTAACAAGTGGATGCGCAAGTCGGGCAGCCAAGAAGATGTTGAATGGGGCTATGCGTTTGATGTTCATCTGAACGCTTTCTTCCCTTTCTTGATTTTCGTCCACGGATTGCTGCCGATCATTTTCCCGAGTAAGTGGTTTTTTTGTTGTAATTTTTGGGAAGCGTCGCAGTAATTCTGTTGGTTTAGTGCTGATTGACTATCCGACATTCATGTCTCGCGCGCTCGGAAATGGTATCTGGATCTTGGCAGCTGTCTACTATGTTTATATCACTTTCCTTGGATATACAGGTAGCTTTTTTTAATTCTCCTTTATCCGTATTTCTAGCAATCCCATATCTTCGCAATACTCACTACTTCCTCTACCCAATGAGCTTCCTTTTGATGGCCTATGTCGGCTCAGTGACGGCTGGGTAAGCCTTTTTGCTGGTTTCAAAGTTTATAGGCAAATTAAGCCGTTGTCCGATCAGTATATAATACTTTTTGCTTAGGTGGAACATCTCACAAACCGCCATGGCTCTTTACCACGCCCGCGCTGAGCACCACAACCTGCAACATACGGCAAAACTATACGACCAACTGAAGGCGTAATCTGTAATGTTTGTCCTCTTTTTTTGTTTCCTTGCCTCCTAATAATTTATTGTCGTATGGGTACCGCTATATCGGGTCTTTTATGTTTTTCGTCAACTTGTGTGTACTGTGTATTACTCTCCGTTGCCTTCCCTCGCTTGGTGCCGACCTTTGCTAATTCTTGTGTATTTCGCAATAAGTCATAAAGATTTGGGTTCCTTTATTACGGTCCACACTTGCTGTCCAAGCCGGCACAAATTGCCGCGTTCACCTTACTAGTCAAAGTATTCAGATCTTTGTAGTCGGCGGCAAAATAGAAGCCCTAAAGCTTGATTTCGCGTTCAATTCCTATTTTACCTCGCCGTAAGCAAGCTTGCCGATCCGCGCAACGTCAAGGCTTGGTCCCATGGCCACGATGATTACCTAAACAGTTTAATGAGGTGGCGCGGCGTTGTTACCTTTGTATCATCCCGATTCTTCATCTTGTGAGCGTACTCCCAAGCCTCATTATAGTCTTGATCAGTACTGAAATTTTTCGGGTCATTCACTATTCTGGGACAAACTTTGCATTCGTCGCGACAAACAGGATAACGACCTTTTGCGTATAGTCGCGCTCACCATTATCTTCAGGATGGAACGAAATATCATCTTCGAGGTAGCGGAACATTCTAAAGAATTAATTGCGCTTTTGCTGGGTTCGGATAATCGGTTAATGGAAAAAACATTACCCATTAAAGTCGGTGACAGTATCATTGTCAACAATATTTGGAGCATATTCGCTAAGGTCCATGATGGTCTTTTGTACACCAGCTGTGGTTAGCATATCTGGGTCGGTGGCGGGGAACACGATCGCAAAGTCGGCATCTGTCTGTAGATTTATGCCTTCGGTCATTTTTTAGCGAAGATACCTGCAGGTTGATGAACACTCGAACCTTGTCGATTCCAATCGTCCAGTTGGAAATGAGATTGGAGATGAAGCTGAGTTGCTAACGGGATTTGGAAATTTGAACAGCTTTTTTACCCTCAAGTAGTTTGCAGAATTTTTTAGTCCCCCCATAGCATTGATTCCCAGTAAAATATCGCGGTTGCACGGGTAGGCAGCTAATTTGTTATGATTTTTCTGAGAAATTTTACTTACTGTAGACAGAGTCGTAGTTGAACGAGAAGCCGCTCTTCGGATTTCCGGTTGCCGATGAGGTAAAGGTGACGAGAGCAAACCGTTCGGATGAGTAGTAAACCTGGGGCTGGGTAACATTCCCGCCAAGCCTAAATGGATCGTGGTTTTCAAAAAATGGTTTGACTTGTAAATAACGAAATTGGCAACGTACTGGGCCAAAACCGGGAAGATATCGGTTGGACCATCATAGATGGTAATGAAATCGTTCGTATCAAGATCAAAGTGGGTAAAGTTGATGCTAAAAACCGGGGGCTTTAGTTTATTATCATCGCGGCTTGAGTTTACCTCAAAACACTTCCCGGCTTGGCCTGGAGATAGTACCAGCATTTGTCATTTGGAGGGTAGACGTTCGGATATAATGGCGAGGCGATGACGCCATTGTAGTAAAAATCATTGTTGTAAGGACAACCGATAAAGTCTCCAACTGACTGTTTGGGTGAATTTCCGTGGATCTAAATCATGAAAATGGCGATTTAATTTTTGTCTGAGGCTTGGTATCGAAATCTCCTACCTTTCTGCCTAAATGCTTTTTTGTCAGCCCATAAACCGCCGAAATACAGAAAAGAAATATTAGAAGATTGCGCATTTTTCAAAAATTTCCGAGACCTTTTCAGAAGGCTTGTGCCTTATCTAATCCGGGTCCGGGTCTGTCTTTCGCTTTTAATCGGATGTTTCAAGTAGCGGCGGGGCGTCATCAGAACTGATAGATGAAAGCCGATCATTAAAACAGTTGGTGGACTTGGATGCTCATAAGACAGGTCTGTCTAGAAGAACCATCGAGGAACAGGGTACCAAAATTATCTAGAGGAAAGATTGTCATTAATGTCTCCTGGAAATACGCGTAAAAGACAGGCGTAATTAGGCCAGATGCAAATTCGGCCATTCTAGTTCTCAGTTAGGAAATCCATGTACACTAATTTTTAAGCCCGATGAAAGCTCCAATCAAACGACTACTCGATCGCTATTCCCACCGCTTTCTACCATCTCTATTCTTAAAAATTGCCGCCACCGAATTATCCGCACTTCCACGAGAAATTGAGGTATTTCAACGAAAATCTAAATATGTGCGAATTTTTTATAGATCCCAGAACATGTGATTGACCAACAGCTTCTCAATGTATTTACCAGCCTTGCCGAGCAATTTCCAAATACTTGCTTCAACAACCCGACGCTCACAAATAGTCAAAATGCTGATGAGGTCTGAAAAATCCATTGTATATTATTTGTTTTAGCATTTGAGGGAACTTCTGGGATTTGCATTGAAACGAGAGAAGAGCACGATCAAGGAGGCTGGTAGAGGTTTGTTGGACTAAAAGTTGTTGAGCCTAATTCAGGGATTTTCATCTCGGGACAGGTGCCGGCAGGGAAAGTGCTGTGCGTCTACCCGGGCACGATATATTATCCTGGCGACTCCGTATTTATCAATTCAATCGGCAATTCGTTTGTGTTGCGATGTCGCGACGCGATTTGTGTTGATGGCAAGGATAGCGGGATGAGCAAGGTGCGTTTTAGCCGTCAAATTTTTCTAATTTCATTTTCAGAATACGTTCATTTCGTGCGCGCGGCGCGATATGGGTCACGATATCTGCGATTGGACCTGGATGACAGAGGCGCCGTTTTCATTCTTCAATCTCGGCCAGTATGTAAATAACGCTCCGAAGCTGGGGACACACAATGTTCAATATATGGAAATTGATGTTAAAGGCTGGCCGATTACTACCCGGAAGTAGGTTTTTTTAAAAGGAAATTACCAACTTTACCTAAATTCATAAATTCCAGGTTTCTACCGTATACCACAAAAGCGAGCCACCCATTGCCGTTACGAATCGTTTGCCTCGTCTCAACGCGTCCGATCGAAAATCGAGAAGAACTGTTCTCGGCCTACATTTCAACGAGCTAACCAGCCACCCGGCCTTCTGCCATTTTATGCCTCTGTGTGCCGTGGAATCAATACGCCTTATCATTTATCCATTCGACTAGGCCACTAGGAAGATCTGCACCCATGAAACGAATTATCCATTCCTCGAAAGTTCCGGCTATTTCTGCTCCATTGAGGTGAAATTGTTGTATGTTAAATTTAATTTTGGGATCAATATAGCCAAGCGACTGCCACTGAGAACTTGATTTTTGTCTCTGGTCAACTTGGGCGCGATGAAACTGGGGTATTTTTTGGAATGGGTTCTAGGGTTATTATTTATTAAGAAGCTTCCCGATTGCATTGAAAAGCAAACAGAATGGTGTCTAAAGCATATGGAATCTATTCTGAGCGAGGCTGGGGCTACTATGGCTGATGGTGGGTCGTTTATTAAGACCCTAACTTCAATTTATGCTTCCTTAATATATCAAAATATTTAATTAAGTTTTGAAAACCACCGTGCTCCTATCAAACATTACTGATACTCCTGCGATGAACAGGGCATATGCCAAATTCTTCCAAAGAGATCCACCAGCCCGAGCTGCCTATCAGGTGCCCAAAAATCAAAATTTAATTTATAATTAGGTCGCGAAATTGCCAATGGGCGCCCTAGTTGAAATCGAAGCCGTGGCCGTCTTGCCGAAAAAGGGCAAACTTTGAGTGTTTATTGTCGGAATAAATGTTTTGATTTTACATACGTCTCGCCCACGGCTCATCGACCTAAAAATTCATATAAAGACTTCACACACAATATAAGAGACTTACAATAATGGTATCATCTAGCGGTTTTCGCCTCCCTCCCCCAATTTGGCCAGCCGCCTCCTTTATTTTTCGCTCCGTCAACCTCGACCACTGATCGGGTCGCCATTTTGCAACCGCTTCTACTGCTTCCTTAGGAGCTGGCAAAATTTCCTAAATTATTAAAGTTCAATCGAATTAATAGCGAAAGTACTCTGAACTACTCTAAAATACCTTGCACATTATTATTCTAAGCAACCGCACACATTCACAAAACTATTTATTATATTATGCACACAGATAAAAGTCAATCAAAAGGCCACCCCTACGTCACCATACATGATCATTACTTCCATCATTGGATCTTTTCTAAAATTTGTTCGAGGATGTATTTTTATATCTTGACTTCGCGCTTCGCATCCGGTTCTTGCCCTGATCCTTCTTCAATTGGCTCGGGTGTGCTCTTGTTATCCTTTTCCTAAATAAACTCGTCCAGTTATTGAACAGAAATTTACATCTCCATCGGCTTCATCAACGGCGGTCAAACCGTGAAGGTTGCCCGATTCCTCATCAGTCCAATCTCCCACAATATTTGCCGGTTTCTTGGCTAAACACAATTAATTTTATTTGTTTTGCGCAGAAAATACCTTTTTTGACGGGCTTCTCAGATTTCTTATGTGATTTTTTGGCTTTGCGTTTGTGGGCGATGGTGGTGGTAATTGGGGCTTCGGTGGCTTCTCGGCTTTCTGCGGTTTCAGTGGTTTCCGGTACAACAGAAGTGGTCTAAAAAAAGAATGAACCGTTGTTATATTGGGATGAACCTGCAGATCAGTTTCCCCTTCGTTCCATCTGTCATCTTCCTCTTCTTCTTCGACGATATGCTTCTTGGGCTTGTGCTTTTTAGCGAGTCTTCTGGAGGCCTAAAAAAAGGTGAGATTTTAACGGTATACTTAAGATTTCTACTGAATTTCAGATTTTTGTTTGGTTGAGTCTACAGGCGTTTGATACGGTAGGCTTACCTTTCCATGGAACTTATGGTGACGTCTTGGCGCACTAGTGACAAATTCAAACTCATCATCTCCTTCCTCATCGGCGGGAGGCGGTTGGAATGGCTTCCTAAAATTAGACTAACCAAGTATCAAAACATTTATTCACCATTTTGGGCCGCCTCCCCAATAGTCTCCATCATCATTGTCTCTTGCCTTGACGACTTTAATGGTTTTGTAGCCGGCTCTAATTTTTTGCTTTGAAAATCAAGTTGTTTCTAACTCTAGTGTATCCATATCATTATCAACTTCGAAGGCCATCGCATTTTCATCGTCGGTAAATTCATCTGACCATGGCCCTAAAAGATTGGCTATATCAAATTTGCATGAGAGAGTGGCTTTTGTGAATCCCTAATACTCACCAGCCTCCCCAAAAGCAATAAGACACAGTAGAACCAAAGGCACAATTCCGTACATAGCAGTGTGGAGTAGTTTCGGACTACTGGGCTGACCAGGCTTGCCTTCGTCAAGTCTTCCTAACAAGAAAAGGAGGCAGAACCCGTCCTCCTGACGGGTCAAGGGCCAGTTTCTTCAAAGGAGATCCCATCTAATCATTGCTCCTCCCTTTTCTTCTCCTCCGCCCAATTGTTCCCTTCGTCTAAACCCGGATCCATTAGGACAGCCAAAGGGACCGTAGTAGCAAAAAGTTGGGAAGAAAAAAGTGGATAAACCTTTTAACCGATGTCCTAGTTTGCGGTCAACCAGGGGGGGCAAAAGATGTGATTTGATAAAGGCGTTAAAACGGTGTTTTTTGGCAAAGATGATTCTATAGCTTCCGGGTGCTGAAAACTTATGGCACTTCTTTTTAAAATGTCATTTTAAATGGTCTAACAAAAACATTCCAGTTTTATAAAAGCCGTTCATTTCGATATAAAAAAAATACTGTTTGTTGTCAGTGCCTAAAAATTCTTCATTAATATTCAGCTTTACTATTCGATGACTCATCTAGAGAACGGTGTAGACTTTCTTTCAACAATGCTTAAAAGCGCATGACTCATCAGAAGTCCTTCATAAATATGGAGGGACCACGATAAAAGCATCCGCCCGCCATTCCAGCTGCATCCAACAAAACAATATTTTTGATCCGGCCAGGAAGCATTGCGGCCCTTGATCGTTTACAAAAGTCGTTTTTGGCGGTCACCACTCGAGACAGCCGGCATTGCATTGTTGATCGATTATCACACCCCGGCTATTGTTCCGCTTTCACCCTGATTTATTGTCTTATTGTCGAGAACATCTGAACTTCAAAAAGCTACGTTTGATTACTCGAAAAATCTGGGAAAAAGGATGCTCACAAGGTAACAATTTAGTGGATCGAAATATATTTCCATTCGGGAATAAAATGTTTTGAACGAAGTTAACTAGTGTATTTCTTATCGAATTTTTTAAGATGGGAACTTGCATGGTTGCTTCTCTGGCTGGGATTTTCCCTAAAAATCGATGCTCAATGTGGAAAAAATATTACGGATGCATGCCCGACGTGTTGCGCAATTCTTTATTCGAATCGCGAGTGCGATTGGAGGACAGGAGAATATCGGCTGATTCGTGAGCGGGCCGATGGTTTTTTAGGTGCTATTGTAGGTTTTTTTACAAGGGGGTTTAGGGCGGCTTGAGAATTGAAAATTTGTTCCATCCTCTTAATCGAAAATTTTTAGTGGGACGATAAAGCGCGAATGATCGAAATTCGACGAGGGTGTTTATTCCAGGGATGGGATTTGAAAAACCAAACAGGTTTGTTTCTAAAAATCAACTATAATAAAAAAGTAGTGGTGTCTGTGTGTGTGTCTGTCTGTCCGGTCCCGGATTCAACTCGAAGGGGAAAGGAGCTAGAGCTTAGGTCTCTTCGGATTCGGATAGAGCGTGGTCAGAAACCCCAAAACTGATAACAAAATTACGAAAAAGTTTTAATTTAAATTATTTAAAATTAACTTTGAAAGTTTTTCCCTTAGTAAAAGGGGTGGGGGACGGAGGTTGGGGTGATTTTGGACATAGTGAGCCAGGTGGTGCGCGTTTCGTGGATGAAAATTTTCACGGGGGATTTCATTTCTTTTTCTCTCTCATTCCATCCGGTCCGTCGTTATTTTCGTTTTTAAAAGGATTTCGGCTAGGGGAGGTATCTAAAGCCATCAGGAAGGTATTTAGGTAGTTTTTGAAGGGGACTTCGGCTAGGGGAGGTATCTAAAGCCATCAGGGAAGTATTCAGGTAGTTTTTGAAGGGGATTTCAGCCATGGGGGTATCTGAAGCCATCAGGAAGGTATTTAGGTAGTTTTTGAAGGGGATTTCAGCCATGGGGGGGGATCTGAAGCGGTTAGCGTGGGTATTGATGGAAGTAGGGAAGGATGTGGTGGAGTAGGACACTCCACCTGTACTGTAGGGTAGCCCGAAGGCCAGATGGTTGCAGTCGCGAAGCGACTGTAACCATCTGGTTAGTTTATATTGCGCTAAAGTCTAAGGATATTCTTACGATAACGGGATCCTAGGCAAATTCAGCTGAAAAGCAAAATTATAAGGAGTTTGGACGAGAAAACGTCATATTTTTCTCAAAATTTGTCGTATAAATTCATTCTTAGCATTTCGTGCCGATATCGGATTTTTAAGAGTATCTACGCGGTCTTTCTGGCATAGAAAAGTGTCCCGAATCAGGAGTTAAAAGGGGGCCGTCCCCATCCTAATTACTTTAATTTTTCAGGGGCTTCCAGAGCCCTTGGCCTCGACGGTCGTCAGTTTCACGATCTCAACCATTACGCATTTGCCTACCGGATTTCTAGTCTTAAATGTATGTGTACGTGATATAAATGGGTTTACATTTCTATATGATCATTTGTACCCAGTACAAGCAGTAACAGCGTTCGGGACCTTTTTGATGTGGGCTGGATGATAATGGAGCGCGTGTCAGTGAAAGGCGCCGTTGAGTGGTGAGGGTAAACAGGGCCCTCACCAGATCGGCCTGTTTCTTACAGGGCCGTTTAGGGGAGCAGAGTTAGCATCAAACAGACATAGTCTCCACCTTACATGTCCATTGTGATGATGGCCAAGTCGAAGACACGACTATTTGCTGATGGCTGTTGGTGTGGAAGGTTAAAAGAGGGGTTAGGAAGTCTTCGTGGTTCAGCCGGGGACGAACGGTTTGATTATGGGTCATTATGCGTGCATAGACTTTATTATACAGAAATATACATTATAAAAATAAGGCACAATGCAGACCTGATAAGGCTCTGCTGGTAAACGTCGTTTGGAGCTTTTCGTAGTGCTTTTTTTGGGACACCCTATATTCCAGCCTCTAACAATGTGGATTGGCACCAAAATCGCACCCTGAAATCAAAAAGATTAGGAAAACTGACCGTTGTTTCAATGACGTTTATTTCCCCCACCCAACCCCCGCAACACAGCATTTAGCGAGCTGCAACGACGAAATCTGCAAACGACTGATGAAAGGAGCCCTGTTTGCCTGCAGGCACCCGACACCACCCCTGTCTGTTATCGTATCCTTCCGGTCCCCCGACGACAATGCATCCGATCGACTTGAATAGTCAAAGAATGACGGACGGATTGTTATCCGTTGAACCCTGCACCGTCTATTGAATTTGTGGGCCCCGGAGGCGTTGGTGAAGCTTATAAGAAGTGGGCATTGTGGCGGGGTGTTGCGTTTTTGCGTTGTTCCAAAATGGATCATGGTAGTCTAGTTTGCTTGCTGTGGATGGAACAGCGTTCTGCGCAAGGATTGGAACAAAGAAATTTTAAGACACCTGAAACCTAGAAAACCTTAGCATTCGATAATTGATTTTCAGAAAGCACCGGTATACTGATGAATTTTTTCATCATTTTTTTTCATAATTGCATCAGTTTGGATTGGTCGTTATCATGAGAGATGCAAATAATACGGAATTATCGGATCTGCGGAATTCTGCTCCCGTTTTTGGCTCATTCCGATACGCCGGATTATCAATCTTCGTTTTGCCGGATTTGCTCGATCCGACAAGCCAGCTAAATTTATCTTCAATAATTTAGTTCAGATAAACTAATCATATCTTAACGTCGAAACCGGCTCGACTTCATATAGGACCATCTTTTGCACTCCTAGCTATAATGCTTATTTTTCGTTTCTGTTCTTTGTCGAGGTCGGGAACTGCTAAATTGAAGGCTGTGAACGAGGAGCGAGGGCGTGCCGACTTATTGCGGCTTTACGAACACCCTGCGGTGGTCTCAAACAGTCTCTTCTTCTTCTTTTCTGTCTTTCTGCGCGAGACGAACCCCGGACGCGTGCCCGATTAGCCTCGGCTCAACACCCTGGGGCCCCGATCTGGGGCCCACTATTCGGGCCTGAAGGCAAAAAGTTCGCGGCACATTACGGGCCTATACCAATATGTCGCATTAAACTCTGAGGGCGAAATAATTACTTATTTTAACAATATCGCAAAAACTGTTAATTATTTAATGAAAAAAGCTATATCTTGATCAAAAACAAGTTCGCGTCACCTTAAGGAAGCTTCTCAACTTCAATGAACTTCACACCAATCATACATTCTGTAAAACTGAGCTCTTGCTCAAAGAGCGGAAGCGCTCAGCAAAAAGTAATCTCCATTTTAAATTTGAGTTTTAATTCCGAAACCAGGAATTATCGAATGCACCTATTTTTAAAACCCGGTGTGCTTTGATACAGACTAAGCTTTCCGAATTTCGCGCTTTCCTCCCATTGAATACAGTACCAATTTCAAGTCAATAACACAATTGTTATCGCGACAGGCCAAAAATTGCATAAAATACCAAAGCCATAAAGTCAAGAAACAAAATCTTAAACTATCCGTTTACTGTTTTCGCCCATATCCCTAAAATTTCATCCAAAATCCTTAATTTATGCCATATGATCGAGTACTATGCAACCACAAACGGTTCGCGCGTCGAGCTATTAGGACAACAGAGCGTAAAAAGCCCGTCGCAGAAGGATTAGTCTGTAGGGGTCGTCGGGACAGTGGGACTCCTGAGAGCTGTGGGACCGCCCCCGGGGGTCTGCACGCTAAAATCAGACCTCTCTCGATGGTCATTTTGGGAACAGAAGATCAGGGAGGGTCCCAACTCTCCTGCCTCAACTGATTTTGGAACCTTTATTGCATATATAAGCTGAATTCAGGAATTTTTTACTATCAGTGTGAGCTGCTTCGAGCTCCGATACCGTATTCTGAGGGACGCAGTAAATTTTAAAGCTAGATTGAGATTTACGATATCAGAGAAGTCCCCTGCCTCCGGCTGTAAGTGCGGCTCCCATTAATGCATAGACATACGGAAATTTGAAATATTTTCAAGTATAAGGGGTACCGATTGAAGCCTTGATACCGTATGTCAAGACACGGGCGGCTCTTGAATTCAACCTGAAATTTCCTTCTCCTCCCCACCTTCAATTATTCTATCGTGGGCGGCAATTTACTTTCTCTTCTCATCAATTTTTTCGATCAAACTATTCAGCGCTATTCGCTCTTTTAACCCTTTGCACGGGGCCCTCATTGCCCCCGCGTCAACAATGAATCAACGGATCAAAATAGTTTCAAGCTTGAGCGTTCCCATGAGTCCAACCAGATAGTATATAGTGCAACTCGTGCTGGGAATGTGATCAGCAGCCATTAGGGCGATCCGTATTTCATTGCTGGCGCCAGCGTAAAGAATTTTCAGCTAAATTTAAATGATTGTGCAAAATTAACATTATTACAGCGCGCTCTATGAAAATTTCCACCTAGATTGCAGCAATCGTTTAAAACTAGCGTTTGCGAAGGATTTAGCTAACTGATACATTTTGAGCAACTAGGGATTCCTGACGGGCCTATATGAAATTTGGTGATACAGTATTACCTAGACCTCAATATTCCTAATATAAGTACCACCAAGATACAATTCCCAACACAGCAAGTTCACACCCTTACCCTAAAACTCCCACTATTTGTAAGTGTGGTTAGGGGCCCAAGGACCAAATGGAAGGGGACAAGCGTGTCCCGTGTCCTGAGGCTATTTGCGCTTTGATATTGACACCGTAGAGACCACCCGTTCAGCGAGTTCCACCTACAACCCAGCACTGTACTCCGCCCTTACTATAAAGTGTCTCGTTGGGCGAAAGGTCCCTATTCTTCTTTCATGTCTTTTTAGTGGTCTTTAAAGGTTGGGCATGATTCCGGGATATTTTTTAGATATGAGGCTACTCCTCGTTCCTCTATTACTTTCATCAGTCGCTGCACTGATTCCTAGGGATCTACTTTTTTCTGATCCAAAATATTCGGCCACATCTTTGTCCAACGATGGACGGTAAGGATTTATAAGGCTGTAATAATTGCTGAGGTTACAGTAACCACTAAACGTCATACGTCAACCGTCACTAGCATAGCAATCAAAACGCGACTTCTTCCAGATTCATCGCTTTCATCGGCCCCGATGAGTCCGGGATCCGAAACGTTTTCACAAAATGTGTAAACTGTCGTCACACCCGTCAAGTCACCTTTGAAAAGACGAACCATGTTCAAGGTTTATTAACAATAAGGTTACTAGGTTTCCGATTCCTTTAGGATATCAATGGACGGCTATTCCGGATATTATTTTGTATATGTACGACAATGATGGTGATGAGAATACTATGATTTTCAAGAAGAACATTTCACAGGTATAGGCTTATTTCGGCGAGATTTGGCCATTCCTAACGTAAATTTTTACCTTCTATTCCAGGCCGCTCCTAAGGACGATCTCGTCGTCGTATCTAACCGGCCAGGAGTCAAAGGCCTCATCATTGCCAATAATCGTGAAGACCGAAAAGTTCTTGTCGGAATGAATGATGCCTCACCTGCGTAAGTTATTTACCGTTTCTAAAGTAATTAGTTACTTCTATTTAATTAAACCATTTCAGCTATCACAACATCTATGAATTTGATCTCTACACTAACCAGCTGACCTTAAAGGTAACCAACATTCTTTAAAAGGTTTATCACCCGCTTAGGTCCGCAACAACCGTTTCCCAATGTTTGTTATTGACAATGACCTCCGCATCCGGTTGGCCAGCCAGCAAATGGATGATGGGAGCATGATGTACTACAGGTTGGCAAAATGCTAAAATTTTACACATAAATATAGACTCACATCGGAAGGCGAAAAGCTCGACCCAATTACCACGGATGAAGCGTATTGGCAAGACTATTTGAGGGTTGCCCCAGATGATAAGCCACTGTCCATGTAAGCTTTCCTTCGATCAGTCTATCAAAATTTCAGGCCAATTGGATTTGACAAGTCAAATGAGATCATGTTCTGGATCTGGGGTGAAGGATCAGATCTTGGAAATCTTGTTCAATTCCATTTCGAAAAGCCTGAGGAGAAGGAGGTAATCTAAAATCTAAGGTTTTATACCATTCTGTAGGTCCTCTACACCGCTACCAAGGCTCAGATTGGGCAGATTATTACTCATCCATCTGAGAAAAATCTACTTGCTGTTACTGAGGTATGGAGTTTCATGCTAAACCAGATATAAAAAAAGTGTTTAGGTTTACCACCGACCGGAGCTGTATGTAGCCAATGAAACGGCAATGGAGGATTTTCAGTATTTGGTCAACCTACGACCACATGGATCGTTACAGCTGCTTTCCCTCAGCAAAGGTAAAAATTATTGTTTCTTGGAATTTCCATGTCAACTATGCTTCCCGATCCCATAAAAACAATTTTTAGATATGAACACTTGGCTCGTCACGTACCTTTCCGCTGAGAAGCCGTTTGAGGTTTTTGTGTACAGGTATTAAAATCTTTAAGAATTAATGAGTAGCAAAACCATAAATTCTAGGTTTATATTACTAACATTATGTTTTCAGGCGTTGGTTGAAGACCGCCGAATTCCTCTTCAACACCCACCCTCAACTCGAGGGCTTCAAACTGAACAAGCAGGTGGATATACAAATCCTTGGCGTTGAAAATCCGATGTAGGTTGGCTTCGACTTCCCAGCTCGTGATAATCTCCAGCTACAAGCCTACTTGTCGCTGCCACCAGATGTGAGAGAGTTTTTATATAATGTCATTTTTGTGTTAGGCGAAGCTCAAGAACACCACTGATGTTGCTGCTCCGGATCAGGTGTATGCTGAAATGGGTATGCTGCCTGTTAGGGCACAAAAGGTATCCAGGCCATTAGTTTTCACCTCATGATCCGACATTTTCAGCTGGTTGTGATGGTTCACGGTGGTCCGAAAGCGCGCGATGTCTACGGATTCAGCCCAATCAATGCTTGGCTAACCAGCCGTGGATATGCCGTGTTGCAGGTAGATAAAAACCGAAAACCACAACGCTCTTTTTTTAGGTGAACTTCCGTGGCTCAGTCGGCTTTGGAAAGAGATTGACAAATGCTGGTGACGGAGAGGTAGGCAAAATAATTTTTTAAGCAATTCCTCGATACAGTGGGGTCGTAAAATGCACTACGATCTGCTTGACGCTGTTGAATTTGCCGTTGCCAAGGGGATTGCCGATCGGGACCAAGTGGCTATCATGGGTACGGGCTTAAATAGAAGCTGCAACCTAAAATTCGTGCTTAGGCGGTTCATACGGTGGATACGCTACGTTGGTCGGTTTGACCTTTACGCCTGAAGTTTTCGCCTGCGGAGTCGATATTGGTATTTTACTCAATTCTCCATCAACGCTGTGACAAAATTTAGTTGGTCCCTCAAATCTACAAGGTCTTCTCGAAGCGATCCCGCCATATTGGCTACCAATGTACAACGAGATCACCAAGGTATTCAGGAACGGGGAATTTAAATGGAAATTTGTAGATGCTAGGCGCCGATATGGATACCGAAGCTGGACGTCAGTCCCTCAGGGCACGATCGCCGCTTTATTTCGCTGAAAAAGTCAAGAAGCCATTGATCATCCTGCACGGGGCGAATGACCCACGTGTCAAGCAACAGGAATCTGGTATGTATCAGGAATCAAGATAAACACAATATTTTTCAGACCAAATCGTCGCTGCCCTTCAAAAGCACTCAATTCCGGTGACCTATGTCTTATACCCGGATGAGGGTCACGGATTCACAAAGCAGCACAACCGGTTGGTGCTTGGTGGTTGTAACTAATTTTGTCTTTTAGCAAGGCACAGTATGGCTTTATCGAGAAGTTCTTGCACGGTTGCATGGGTGGACAGTATGAGAGCTTTATGCCTGGACAGTATAACTCCACCGCTATCGTAAGTTCCGTTTTGAAGTTCAGTGTGTCGCATCATCACATCGACATCTATGCTGCAGAAATGTGAGCAATTCCTTTATAGCTAAAAGCTGACGGGTTCGCGACGGAAACCTTGATCCCTTCGACGTCTGCCCCGGTGAAAGATGTCAAGTCGAAGACCGCTCCTGCTCTATTCTACCGCCCAGTGCGAATCCCGACAAATCGTGGCATCTACAATCCGGTGCCCACCCGCATGGAACAACAGGTTCGCTCAAGGGGGCCTGATAACGCGGCCTTGGCCGCTGTGTTCGGATAAAGCACTGCGAAATTTTGGGACCATAAAAAATTGATTATGGGGGCATGCCTTGTGAAAGTGAATAGAAAATTGTATAAAACTAGAAATCTACATTTCTAAGGAAACAAAATATTAATGTTTATAGATGGCTCAACCAGCGCAACCTCAACCAATGGCCTACCCAAACTACGTACACCCAGCTAGCCATATGCAACCTGGAGGCTTCGGTGCCGCCGCCCCGATCCCAGTCAAATATACCTTCCTAGGCTAATTGCATTTAACAATCTCAACACCACCCTGGTTTCCTCATTTATTGGAAACACACGATCCTCTCTTTTCTCTCGTTCTGGTGTCTTGTATCATCCAAATTGCTCCAAGCAAAAACCCTTCGATCCATGACACTAGCTCATCCTATTCATAATCCTCCCAGTTTTATGGGGGGTTTGATCCTCCTCAACGCCGATGTCGGTGCGTTTGAATATTTTCCATTGCATATTGTCTCTATGCGACACGCCATCATTCACACTACCGGTGGTCTTTCTGTATTATGCAAGTGCTCCTGGGTAATCAGGGCAACAATAAATTATTGTTTCAAAGGGCCGCAACACTATATGGCAAAATGTAAAACCCATTGCCCCACGACTTGCCCTAATCAAAAAAGTGTCAACCCTCTCCGAAACAGGATCTTCGTGACTAATTTGGCATGCCTATAAAACACAGATCAATCTGGCCTATCGATAAGATTGTTTTGCGGACGCAGCACCTCTGGTTGTCGGAATATTTTTGGAAATGACTAATTCGGTGCGACCGCCTCGCCCACATGTTATAAGAATCAGTTTTTTTTGGGCGGGGCACTCAGTCCATCCGAAGAAAACTGATAACTATGAACCTGCGGGGCACCGGCTTCATGACGAGTCCGCGAGAAGGATTCTGACGTTTGACCCGGTTTTTTTATCGATTTCCTCATTTAAAAAATTGCATCCTTTCTTTTTAGTTCCATTTTTAACTACTCTATTGATTAGAAAACCGCTGTAAGCTGAATGAATTGAAATATTCGTTAATATAAAACGTTCTTAAAAATTTGTTTTTCGAAGCATTGAGAAAGGCTTTCCATTTTCTTGATCTTACTAGTAACTATTTAGATGAAGAAACAACGGCCGCAAATTCGAGCGGCCACGCCGAACGAATACATTTCAAGTCCAACACATTTCCGGTTCGTCCAAAATCTTATTTTCCATAAATCCCTGTACATAATGCAGGTTTTTTCAAGAAATCATAAAGTCGCAGCATATTGACCCCACCCTAAATACCGCTGAATATTTTGATTTACGCTCTGACTAAGACTTTTAATTGCAGAAAAGTGAGCACAATGACACATCGTGACGCTCAAAGAATGTTGGCCGAGCTTGAGCTTATGAACAAGCCGCCGCCACCACCCATTCAGCCAAAGAGCTGGCAGGCAGAAATGGGTGACGGAAAAGGTTTGTACTGCCCTCATTATCTGAAAATTTAATTAATTTTAAGCAATCCCTACAAAACTGCACCCAGTTCCAACTAACATTCCACCGATTTTGGAGCCTGACGAACTCAGTGATCATAGGTATGCGGTGTTTCACAATTTTCAAACAAATTTTAGCTGGACCGATGATGAAGACGAATCGATCTACACTTATATTGATGAGTGAGTGCGCTAAAAGCCGAAGAGAATTATCGTTATTTAGTGCCTCTCTTTCGAATCGAACTTCACCTCGTCCACTTTCTTATCAATCCGGTGTAAGCGGGAAATTTAGCGCCTTTTCAGCTGACACAGGTGAGGGCTGGAATCAATAAGATTTCCTCGATTAATTTACTGTAACCAAATAGGAAATGTCTAACGATTTAATACAATTCAGATGGTTCCATCAGCCCACCGAGAATGCCAGCCACGCCGGTGCCTAGACCACCAAAACCTGAGGTTCAACCGAAAACTCATAAAATGGGCGCAAAGCGATTACAAGTCGTACCCAACCCCCCACCCATGCTCATCCAAGTCCCACGAATCATTGAACATCACGAAGAAGAACATTACTTCGAAACCGAAATATCAACACTCACAACCGAAGAACGCGATTTTCCAGTCGTCCAAATCCCAAGGCACTCCATCATTGCGCTACCAAACAAACTTCCAGAACCCAAGAAATCATTCTTCAACTGGGACGCCGTCAAGCCCGACTTTAGCAAAATTAAATTCTTCCAAAAAGAGGACCCAAAGCCCGTGAAGGTTGAAGAAAAGTCTCCCCTACCTGTAACCCCTAATCATGGCCTGAAAATCGATGAAGAAGAAGTGAAGAAAATCAGTGCTCGTCTAGGGGGATTACAAGCAAAGGTGAAACTAAAGATGCTGTGGCCCCGGTCCCTCCGAAGGTGGAGATGAAACCACACAATTTCTGGTGGAATGGCCCTTCAACAAGTCGTGCAGGTCCACCAGAACCACCAACTCATCGCAAAACAAGCCATCCGGAAAATGTACGAAAACCTGAAGGGAAGCCTGAAATCTTGAGCTCATCAGATCGGCCCGGTAGGCCAGAATTGCCCCCAAAGCCAGTCTCCGAAATGAAGCTTATGTTCCAAAAGCCCGGCTCAGTTTCACCTTTACCAAAACCATTATGTATACCACCCAAACCTGCGACACTCGCGAAACCATTACATCTCAAGCCGAATACGCCACTAATTTCGCCGACCTATTTGGCTCCGGGAAGACCAGCTATTAATCCAAAACCAAAAATCGGCATCGGAAACGGGGTTGCAAATCGAGGGAGTCAGAAAATTGCGATGAATCGGCGATCGATGAAAAGGCCAAGTCCCCGAAAAAGCCGCTTATTCCTGCGAAGCCGTTTCTTAAGGTAGTTTTCGGATTTATAACTTACTATGTATATTTTTGTTATTATTATTGATATATGATATACTAATGATTTAGTTTTTTAGGCAATCGATCAACCCTCAATGCAGAATGAGCTTGCTGAAAGATTGGCAAAACAACGGATGAGGCTCAAGGAATGACAGTTTACTCTGACGAACTTTTATGGGATTATTGACGGGTTGAATGTATTTTCTATGTATAGTTTTAGCTTAACATTAAGTGGTGGTGATAAATTGTATTCATTAAAAACACAGGAGATGATGAAGAAGAAATATTTTTTCAAAATGCGAATCCTTGCCAAAATCCTGATATTTTTAGTTTTTCTATGTATAATCTCCCAACTAAAAACATATCAGCTATTTTCCGTTTGCGGCACAGAGCTGTTTATAACCCCGAAATATGAACGGATGCAATGGGGAAAAAGCGGGGCAGTTTTGGGAGGACGACAATCCGATGGAAAAGAGGAGATTTATGTGGCCGGGGTGCCGAACGGACACAGTGACTCACAACTGGCTAGCGGAATATGAGACCTGGCCCTCTCTTTGCGCTCTCCATTTTATGTTGTCATTTTTTTAGGAAATGACAGTGGTTTCTATTTTCTTGCCGAATTATTTCTATTTGGAATCAGTGGGACCCAGCTTATTACTCTTTATGCAATGTTTTATTTGAAAAATGACAATTCCTCGCACTATGATTTAAAATTTTGACTTTATAGTCTTGTCTAAATTCCTTTATTTATTTAAATTTACGATAAGTGCGTTTTGTATATTTCTTCGATCAGGATTTGGAAAAACTAAGCAAAATAAAGGCCAGGATTTGGAGGAGGCAAGGGTTAAAAAACTGTTTTTTTTTCAATCCTGACCATCAATGTTTTTCTAAATACGTTTCCTCGTATATAAAAATACCCCTTTTCTTTATTTATTGAAAACTACAAAATCCTACCATCCCATGCTTTGTCACCCATGACTCGTTTACAATTTCCAAGCCACGAACCCCAGCTCGATTGGGCGGCTTGTGAAACATCGGGCCTGGAGGGAAAAAGGAGGCAAAGAAGGCCTTATCTGCAATACTGGGGTGTCATGACGCATTGATTGCTTTTCCGGACCATTCCCTTCCATCACTTTGCATCCTCCATTCGTTTTTTGGCGGACCAGTTTTCCAGAACATACTCGGGGGCGGGTAACGCCTGAAAGGGGCGGAAACCCAAATGGGGTACCATCTCACTCAAGAAATCTTTTTCGGGAATGCGCGAGGAACCAATTGACCCTTTTATTGCCTAGATGAGCCGATAAATTTTACTGAACCCTCGCGCGCCTCTAAGCGACGATCATCATTTTTACAATATTAGCCAGATTTCTACGATTCCCGACCTTTACTCTAACGATAATAAAAAATCGCTTTATTTCATTTTCTCTTTTCAGGCCATGCCTAAAAAAGACCATCATCACTTGACCGGCGATGACATCTCATTACCCACCAATTTTCAGTAATCCGGAAACTTTGATTATTGATGCAGATTTAGGCATTTATCACATTTGGGGTGGGATGCATCACGAGAGCAAATTATCGATTCTTTGTTACCGTTACCCCAGCCAGTCAAAACAAGATCGCCAAGTAAGTACCCCTTTACCGGCTTAACGGACGCAATACATCTTATGTGTTTTTTAGCATCTCCTCGTTGGTATACACCGGAAACCCAAAGCCCGGTCCCATCCGTAAATGCTTCGAGCTTCCCTCCAGCCCCTGAATATACCAGAGAATTACCAGTCGATGCGCCTGCCTTGTAAGCCAAATTTTTCTATGTTTCAAGGCGTTCAGGGATCAACCGATACCAATATCGACAAGAAAAACAAGCGCAAATCGTGCTGGTGCCTCCAGGTAAAAAGGATTTGTCATAACACATTTGATGATTTAGCACACCAACCCCTGGCAACTACGAAACGCCACGTAATAGCAATTCTTCGGTAGAAACCCCTGGTTATCAGCCGAGGTGAATCACCCTAGAATTTTTTGATGAAGCGACCGATTACGCTAAAAGCTCCTGTTTTAGATTTGCTAAAAATCCGGCGAGCGCGAAGGCCAAACAGCCGGCAGTGAAAGCTTCTCCGCCACCAAATCAGGATCATCGCAGGTTAGTACTAGTGCTCTTGCATTCATATTTGTTTAGACAGCCACACTGTTCCCTTGAAACTCCCATTTTATTCAGCGAAAAAGATTTGGAAGACGAGGAGCGCAAAATGCCGGTATGAATCTTATATAAAACCTGGAAGGATTTTATACAGCGAAACATCAAAATGGGGCTCGACGGGGTGTTGTATTCAAATGTTACGGAAGCAGCCTTTGGACCGTATCAAAATTTGAGGTTGGCCAGTTTAGCTCAAGAAAATAATATTTTTAGTCCATTCGGGAAAGAAGGGGCAAAGTCGTTTGGGGCTCCACCTCCTCGACCACCGAAAAAGGATAAGAAATGGACCATGCAGGGCGATGTGAGCAACTTTTTTGTTCTTTTATTTATTCTTTTATTCAAACTTTTATTCAAACTTTTATTCAAAACGATTCTTTAGGATATGGTTGTGCTCCGTGATGGTCCGGATAGTTTTGACGCTGAACCTGTAGGTATTCGCGAGCCATCAGCGATAATAACCCCGGTGAGTCGACTTCAGAAGAAACCGCAGTTTCTATATCAAATCGTTTGTTTCGAAGTAGAAAAAAATACCGATTCCAAATTAAAAATTTTAGCAGCCTGCCAAAATCCGCCCACCAACTGTCGCCGCCGATTTGGAAAGGCCCGGATTTTTGGGGCTAGGAATGAGTAAGTTTTTTTAATTTAGGCGGATCATATTCAATCAAAGATTCGGATTAGCATTTTTCATGATAATCTCGCTTTTTATTAAAATCTCCATTTAGTGATGGGTTTGGATGACGCGATCCCAATCGATTCCCCTCCGCCCAATGCATACCTTCCAGTCAACCCGAAAGTCAAGAATGAGGTACGATCCGCGTCTATAAGACTTTCACTGTCATAGACTTTTTTAATATATTTAAATGCCTCCATGATGTCTTTAAAACCCACCTCAAAAATTATCGCGAATGACCGACAGCCAGCTCCGGCCGCCCTGATAAGCCGTTTGCACGATGCGCTGGCATTTTAATAGTGCTACTACGGTTTTTCCTATTTATTTTTCGGAAGCAAATTGACACATTACACATCTTTACTTGAAAAATGTAGCCCGTAATTTATTTTACAGCCCCTGATGCCACCGGCACCATTAAACCGTAACACTCCACATGACGCGCCCGCGGAGTCGGCTCCGATTTACATGAAAATGCCGCTGCCAACCCAATCCGTATAGTGTCAGCTGTCGGGAATGAAACAAATTCAGAATGCACAGCAAAAACCGACGGCTCCCGTTAGGGTATCCACAAAAAGCGTCGCAGCTCCAGTACCACCAGCGCCAGTTCAAGCTGCGAAAATTCCGGTAAGAAAGTTTATGGTTATTTTAACAAACTTGTTTTAGCCACCGCGGCCACCTCCACCATCCCTGAAGCCAGTTTTGGAACTGATCGTAACCAATGAGTTACCGGAAACTTCCCACAAAGATCCGCCACAACCCAGCCCAAAATCTTACCGTAACCCATCCAAGCGCTCGCCTGGAGTTAATTCCGTCGACTATCTGGCTAGCGATGAACAGTCTGATAATGAAACGACTGAATCAACTCCCGGGTACGACATCTTTAATTTCCGCAACGCCTTTTTAAGAAATGACAACAACGTACTCTACTCAATTCCATTAAAGAAAACAACTCCCCCAATATCGGTACCGATTTTTCGTGAGTCATTATCGCCCAATTCAGCCGATTCGGGAGCAGCAGAAGAAGCTTAGCGTTCGAAAAAGTGATAAAGTGCATCAGAGCGAATTGGAGGTGATTTTATAGCGAATAGGATAGAAAGGATAGTATTTTAGAAAATTGCGACGGAACTGAGCGAGGGACGGTATTTTAATCCAGAACCCAAAAAAGATTCGCCAACAACAGTAAGTGTCCTTTGAAAAACATAAACAGTTTTGAAGTTAATCGGAGGCCATGCAAATCAAGGAAATTCAGCGGCCGCTATGGTAAGGATTTAATAACCAAATTCGGACGGTTTGGGAGTTTAGGAAGGATGTCCAACGTATGCTTGCCCACTACCTAGAGGCTTTGAATTGGATCAAATTTTTGAAGCCATTGATGTACGTTATATCTTTGCGCAGAATACTGAAAACTTCAGGATCTCGACGATCACCTGCAAAAAGAAGACTCCGAATGTCAATCGGAAACGGTTCCAAATTAGAGGAATAATAATAATTTAAATATAGATAATAACGAGTGGCTCGGCTGGAATATCTGATAGTCTGTATATTACTAGCAAAGGGAGACCTGAAGAACCAGGCAGGCTACTAGATTTTTCAAATTTCTGAATTCATAGAAGAGCCATCACTGGAAGAACTGGTTTTTTCAAAGGTGGAATTGCCCAGAATTCAAAATATGGAAGTCAATCTACAGGTGCTTTTGACGCTTTATAATTATTTAACTTCTTTTAGCATGGTGTTTTACCAGCCGGAAAAGCTGAAGAACCGACCCCAGCTACACTTGAGGTTTTTCAGCCGCAGAATATTTATCATTAAAAACTCTAGACGCCAATCCCGACCGCAACACATCAACAAACCATGCCTCCCCTGAGCTTTATGCAAATATCGCGCCGGTACACGTTTTTGTCTAATCTTCACAGTTATTTTCAGCCAACTACCCCGCGCCCAGTGCCAGCCCCAAGGAAATCCAGAGAAGCGCCAAAAGTAAATTTCATGACGACAACACCATCAAATTTTTTAGCCGCCCCCGGTAATTGCTCCTCATCTCGAGGCTTCTCCATCTAACCTTGAAGACTCCAGTCGCCCAATCATGATCCGGTTGTAAATATTAGAGTTATTCGGTTGCGTTTCTTTCCATTCCGATGACATTGCAATAAAACGTGTAGCTTTCAGTGGATTCCCATGATATTACCGCTGTTGCGTTCCACCCGACAGACTACAGTAATTTTTAAAAAATCAGACGCCGGTTTATTTTTATAAACTGAAAATCATGATTATAAATCGAGTTATTATCTTTTAAATAATCGTTTCTCAAAAATGGCAATTTATGGATTTCTACATAATGAATGGTTATTTAGCGTGGGATCCTGAAATTTGCTGAAAATTAGTAGCCTTGTTTGGAGACCACCCAAAAAAATGCAGATGTCCCACTATTGGGGTGGTCTCGGAAAAGTCAGGGTGGTCCCGGGGTTTGGCTGCTCGATCCCTTCTCCCGCCCAGCCCTGGCCACCTCCAAACTTCTCCCAGTGCCAGGAAGGCTCGAAAACAATGCAATTAATGGAAGTAAATTCACTAAATATTAGTGTTATAGTGAAACTAGAACTAAAATTAACGACACGAGCTGCTTGTTGGTATTTTCAAACAAGTGAAAGTCGATAAAATGTGAAAAACCTGAAGGTAACGTTTCAAAATCGCACATAACCGATCCGCTATATTTAACCGGGAGAGCCAGGGTTCAGGGAATTCATGGCTGAATTAGACTATTAAAATAGCTAAAAATTCCAATAATCCGTACCACCGTCACCTAAAATTGAGAGACAAAAATCTGATTAAACAGATTTTTAATTCCTGAGAGACATCTAAAACTATGAAAATATTTATACAACCACGCCAGAAAGGGAATCTCAGAAGATGAGCATCTTTCTTCAACCCTTCATGGCAAACATTTGGAATTCCATTTCGGGGCAATGTTTGTATTGTCTCGCCCCGAAGAAACGGAAATAGCATGATCGCTGGCTCTGAATCGGATGGTTTCCCTCTTCTCTAACACAAAAATAGACTAATGGCTTGCTTTATCTGGAATACGGCCTATTCTCACTATCTTTCCGGGGGCACATTTGATTTTTGGGCGAGGTTTGGGCATTGTGTTGGGCTTGAGGTAGTTTTCAGGCTAGCAAGGAAGCCAGTTTTTGAAATACAGGTATTACCGCGATTTGTATAAGTATTTAAATAATGAAACATTTAGAGCATTTTACTGCACTAACTCACTAAGATATTTCAAAATATTACGAAAATCCTCGGACTGTCGGGTTTCCAATCAAACCTGAAATTCTATGCCTACTACACAACCAATTTCCACCCAGAAAAGTAGATATGATCCTACCGGTCTGGGCTATAATATGCTACCATTGTGTTTATCCATGCCGAATCCGCATGCAGACCGATTTATTTTGGCCCTACCCATGTTATTCTCTCCGAAAAAGCCCAATGACCAAATAAAGCTCCGCGTTTTTTTTTGCTAGCACTTCTGCTTGGGAATTCGGACCCCCCAAAACATTGACGCACTTCAGCGAAACGCCTCCATGAATTAATTTGAAACAACGCGCCAACATTCTCCCTTGAACCCCGTGTTCGATTCATCGACCACCCAGACCAATTTAAAATTTGATCGGAGTTCCAATTCTAGAGTGCAACATACAAGCGATTCCCTATCACCTGTTCGAAAATCATCTGTTCGAAAATCACCTGTTCGAAAATCATCCGTTCGAAAAATCATCTGTTCGAAAATCATCTGTTCGAAAAGACATCTGTTCGAAAATTCATCTGTTCGAAAAGTCATCTGTTCGAAAATCATCGGTTCGAAAATCATCTGTTCGAAAAATCACCGTTTCCAAGCAACAACTTTTCCAAGATTCACGTTTTTTGAAAAGTCTTTTCATGACAAAAAAACTAAAAAAAAACAAACAAAAAGACCTTAAAAGACATATTCATGACGATTCAGGTTAAAGTTTTGGCGATGTTGTCGAGGAACTCGGCCATATATTCTTTGATGTAGTTCTCGCAGAGCTGCTGCTGCTCGTCGATGGTCACCCTCGGGCGCTTCTTTGGCTTGGCGGAGGATTCGATATCGCCGCGCAGTTTCAGATTTTCCTCGAACTTTCCCACGAAACATGCGAAACACAGCATTTTAATAGCAATAGCTTCCCATTTTCCCCATTTGGGACCTTTTTCGAATAGGTGATTTTTCGAACGGATGATTTTCGAACAGATGACTTTTCGAACAGATGACTTTTCGAACAGATGATTTTCGAACAGGTGATTTTCGAACAGATGATTTTCGAACGGATGATTTTCGAACAGATGGTTTTCGAACAGATGATTTTCGAACAGGTGATCGGCCACCCATACAAGCCAATTCATCCATTTATTGCCGTTTATCTCTTATTGTATTTTTCGCAATTGTGGGATATCAAACCGGGGGAGTTCCGGGGACCTCATAATGTTTTGACAGTTTGCGGCAGCTATTCTCATCCATGCATTTCCTGGATATATTGAGGGAGGTGCGGAATTCCGTTTTTGATTCACTAACCAGGCCTCATGCTGGGTTTGAAATGTTACGTTTGCATATCCTCGTTTGCAGAATTGGCTTTAGTTTGTCTACAATCAGTTTTTATTGTGAAATTACTTTAATGCTGTGCCTATAGCGTCGCATCTTCGAGTTCTCGATTTTTCCGCGGTTTCAGATGGGTTTTTTCTATTCAGCGATATAATCGAAACCGATTTGTCAAAATACTGGCACACAGCGGAGGTAATCGGCCATTTCCAAAAATGATTCCTGAAATTTAGCATAAAGTGATGGTTTTTGCGAGTTTTTGTCACCTCACCGAATTACATCTGGCCGAATTATCACATATTTTACATACTATTTTCATAATTTTGACGTATTCATTTTTAACTCAGGGAAAAATTCGACCAGAAAAAAAAACATTCGGTAACAAAAATAAGTACATATTGCAGTTTGTACTTTACAATACGATACGGACTTTGCGACCCAAACCAAGGCGACCCTAGCGCCCCAGATTGTTAGGCATCCAGGTTCCCATGCAGCGATGTTGCAGCATCCATTTCCAATTGCCTAGATTTGGCTTCCACCGACGGGGGTGGATATTTGCTCGTTTTTGTGGGATAACACGTCGATGGTCGCGCGGGATGCGGGTGGTTGGTGTCGGTTTGGATGTCTGGGTCTACCAGAGATCTTATTCAGATACGGCTTTGGTTAAAAGCCAGATACCTTAGGCCTTAAATAGTAATAGCAATTTCCGTCTTTGAATAAAAATATCTAATCGGAATAATAATTTCGGTAGTCGATCAATATTATTTTAAGCCTCGCTGAATAAAGTCTAGAGAATAAAGTCAATTTTAACAGAGAATACAGCATCCTAGAATTTTTCTGCCTTTTTGGGATTCGCCTATGCCTCTTACGCTTTGCAACCCATTTAGCATGTTATTCCGAGACAACCTCTATTCTCCAGTGCCTACCCTCGATTTTTAGGGCCTGGGCCTCCGTTTGCAATGAAACGGAAACTGCTGGCGGTGGTGCCGCCATCAGGTCGGCGCTAGAATATTGCGCGACGGGTCGGCGACACGGGAAACCCCGGGGCCCCCCGATGAAAAATGAGGCTCGGGTGCTATGGGCCCCCCAAATAGGGACGTAGAGCTGTGCTCTCCCCCCATGGGGGCTCGAAGGCTTTGTGTTTGCCCTCAAAGCCTTTGTCCGTTTCCTATTTCAGCCTCCCCTTCCATGGCCACCGGCTTCTCCGCCACTTAGTCCAAATAGGCTTCTCAATCGTTGGTTGTTCGTTTTTAAAAGTGGTCTGGAAGTGACGGGAGTTTAGCGCACGTCATCATTAGGGTTAGTGAAATTAATAACTTACTAAGTTAAGGCTGTGAGTTAACTCTCCTATCTCTGTTGCTCGCTAACTGTCTCATTAGCTCCGCATGTCTCTCTCTCTCTCTCTCTCCTCCTCTCTCTCTCTCTCTCTCTCTTTCTCTCTCTCGCTCTGTCTCTCTCCTAGTTTTTGACTTACAGACCATAACCAAGCATTCGTTTGCTAACCAGACCCCTAAAAATAAATCGAAACCCACCCATAAATTTTTTGCCGATTTGACCAGTCAGCTTGAGCCTATAAAAAATGCGCCCGTTTTTTACCCTATGATCCACGACAGCTGCCGCATTTTTATCCCGCCTCCACCCGGTCGTTTCTGTATTTTAAGCCACAAACCAGAATGCCGAAAATTCTCTGTTTACATGGAAGTGGTACTCGAGTCGCCCGCCGGCTCGACCTATCCCGAGGAGTTTATGACTATTCAAGCCGAAGAGTTGTTTTTTCTTCTGCCCCGGTCACACTTTTCCGGCAACAGCCGAATTCGTAGTAAGCTTGGGTTCTTTCAAATTATTTTTTGGGGTCTAAGCATTTCAGTACCAGTTATATATCGGGGGTGGAATAACATTTTTTGGCATCGCTCGTTTTTCGACTTCCAATATCTAATGAAATTCGTGGTACCCCCCTCCCGCGTCCCACCCATTCTGAATTACAAATGGCTGGCTGTCCGCGAAACTTTTCCTTTGCATGGAGTGGCCTTTCCGGTCATGGCATATTATTGCTTTGGGGATGATTTTCACGGGATATTCATTAGGTTAGGCTGATTCGAGCAATTATTGCCCTTCGCTAATTCGTCTCCAGGGAATTCGGGAATCTTCAACTACTAAAAAACGCCTCTGAGTTTCGAAACTGTGCAACAAATGTATGACTCCACTAAAAACAATTCATAGGGCGTAATTTTCCGGAATTCCAGCAACCAGATGCTTTTAGTTTTTGCGTACATCGATTTCCACTGTGTCAATAGATCGAATTGCATCGATTAATTTTACCGGATGCCCCCACAAGACCTAAAAAAGTTCATAACCTACCATATTCCACTCTCAAATCAAAGACATCAACGTATACAACCACCTTATTTTGCATACTGTAACTAAAATTTTCCAAACTCCTAACTACAAAAACCACCGCCCACCCAGAATTTTATATTTTGTATCAACAGGACAATTTCTACCCTGTGTGGACCTCCCTTACGGGTCAAAAGACACGCGGGCCACGGGGTCCGCTTAAGCAAACTAAACATCTCTTCGAGCCCCACGCTCCTTCCTTTTCTCCGGCCGAAAAAAAACGGGCTCAACGGTCCGTCTACCTCTCAACCCGCAGCTTATCTAACCTCCCACACGTCATCACGAACCTTTTAACAGCTATAGCGGCATTTCGAAATATTGTGCAACCTGGGTTCGAGTGCCTGCTTCTTACTGCAAGGTTGTGTTTTGTAGAAAATTTTGTTACCGTACTGCAAGGGACTTATAAAACACGGCCCTCTAGTAATTCGGAGACACTGGGATTGGGATGATTTTTACACCATTCGAAAGCTCTCGAAAACGCGATAAAGCACCTTCCTCCGTTGCGATCCTTCTGAATTTTCTGATTGTTGCTTCTTATTAGAGTTTTCCTAAATACAACCGTTGTCCCTGATTTTTCTGGAAATGTTTATAGTCACAGTTTTTTGTTTTTGTGTGTTTTAAATATCCTTCTATACTTCTCCTAACTCTTTACATTTCAGTCAAAATGATGGCCTTTACTGATGAACCACCAGAGGGCTACATTGATGACGACGGATATGTAAGTATCAAAAATATATTCAATAATCTTAATCAACAGAAATTTGTCTATCCCAAAAAGTCGTCAAAGCTCAGAGCACACAGTATTGTATTGTGGCTTGGGCCCCACATGGATTTATACAAGAAAATCATGAACCGACGATTGGTATGAAAAACGGGAACTTCTCAAAGAAGCCTCTCTCTCTTTTTTTGGTTATTTTTTGCATTATTTTCTGGGCTTTTGCATGGATTTTAGATCTAGGCTGAAGTAATAGACTTTTTTTAGTCAACGACTTCGAGCAGTCCAGCATCACCCACTATTACGCCAGCCGTATCACCTACGATACAAAAAACTGGTGATCAGAAGAAGCCACAAGAATTGAACCCGTTGAATTTGGTGAGTCTAATGTTGAAAAATAACAATAAGGAAAAAATTGAAAAATTTTATCAAATAAGATTTCATAAAACCAAAACATTTTTTTAGGAAGTCGACCCAACAAACTCAAAACTGCTCATCGCTTGCCAATCCAACAAACCCGAACCAAAACCCCGATTCTTTCCCCCAGCAAAGCTCTTCATCAGCCAAGTCCGCTAGGTCTGCTGCAAAATACGGAAGTATCCGACGCAACGGGTTAATAAATTATGTGCAAATCTTCCCCCATTCCAACGTAAACACACGTCATCAATGGTCATATTTTGCTGGCATGTTTTGAAGTATGAATTATATCACCATCCACAATATCGCATTTTTCATGAACCATCAGATTCAGTTGAATTTGGATTTTTGAATTGCTATTCTCGAGGATCCGGAGCGGGGAGGAGTCGAGTAACCAGATAAATGACGTAAAATTTCAAGTTAGTGCCCAATATGCAAATTACCCTTCCAACCCTAAATTTTCATTGTTTCCTGGTCACACGCGTTTTGAACAAATATTTATCCCAAGAGAATGAGCTTAGCAAACAATCGAGGATAAACAATATTTGGTGGGGGAAAATGAGAATTGAATACGTGGTCATGGGGGAAACGAGAAATCGGGGGATTTTTCAGGGGGCAGACGATAAGTGTCCGGCATTTTGTGTTCTGTTTTGTAAAAACCATGGCCCAATCGTGAAGGTTACATTCAGGAAAATTGTAAATAAACATAGTGTGTAGTCGTCCACATTCAAATACTTTGGGGTAGCTGCTAGTCGTTTTCTATAGGTATGCCTAATTCGTCGAATAGGAGGTGCAGGGAATATTTCCGGGATTAGGGAAAGGGTATTTTTGCATGGAACCGGAAAATGTTCACAAATCACAGTCTGATGGACAAAGAAAAGGGGGGAAAATCAAGGGAGTTTTATTTGCTATATTGATGGTAATAGTGTAAAAACTCCCAAAAATTAGAATACAACGAAGATCACAAACGGCGCAGTGGCGGGACTAGAAAATCTGCAGGCGATCGGTAGCGTAAAGTTGCCTAATTTGCATAGACTTCCCTGCAAACACCATCGCCCCCAAAAAACACAGCAAGCATTTTTCAGACATTTCAACCGCATGCCAGTCATTTACACAGGGAATTTGGTATCTGATCTCCGAACCAAAATCAAAATACCATAAAAAATTCGCAAAAGCACATAAAATCGGTGCAATATTTGTATCAAAAGAATCGTGGACGGTTGATTGAAGATAATTCCCGAACGGTCCCCATGGATCAAAATTATTCCATTGGTGTTGGCATATTGTTGGGCTTTGCAGCCTCTTCGGCCATTCGTGCATGATGCATCTGGAAAATAATTAGTTTTTGTGGGCGCGCTTGGGAGCCGGGGGGTGTTTTTGGCATCGGCCGGTCCATAGTTAAGCATTTTTATGAGGGGAAATGGACCGGAAAACCGGCCGTTTTTCCCTGGCACTCACTTCCGTTTCCTCGAAAATCAGCCGTTTCAAATCTTCCTTTGGCAAATCGTCGAGTTCCATTTCGTAGGTGAAAGGCTCTTCACAGATTGGCTAGAAATTTGGTGTCATGGAAGGGATCTGGAGATGCTTACCTCGTCGTTGGGGTCATAATACTGTTCGAGATATGGATGAGCCAAAGCTTGCTCAATATCGATTCGCTTGTTCGGATTGAAAGTAAGCATCTGAAAATTGGGTTGTGAAGAGGGAATGAACATACCTTATCTAGCAAATCCAAGGCCCTCGGGTCGGCATTAGGATAAAGGCGTTGCCAGGGTTGCTTGGGCTTATGCGGTAGAGAAATCAGGTACGATCGGGCCTTTTCGTTGATGATACATCCGAGATCTTCTTGGGATGGGCTACCAACAACGGCCAAGATCAAGTTCAACTGATCGAGGTAGTGCTTGCCCGGGAATCTTAATAATTATATTCTAATATATTTTTGAATAATAAATATTGAACTTGCAAAATACAACATAAACGAAAATCACTTACAATGGGCGATTATTCAACATTTCAGCCAAAATGCAACCGACACTCCAGACATCAATCGATTTCGTGTATCCCTTCGAGTTCAACATGATTTCAGGGGCACGGTACCACCTACAGGATTGGTATAACAAAAAAATATACTAACAAACCTTGTAGCGACATATTCAGTCAAAAAGCCGGTGTGATCTTGTCGCGGATCGGTGACACGAGCCAGACCAAAATCACAGATCTTCAGATCACACGTCGTGTTCAACAGCAGATTTGAGGGCTTCAAGTCGCGGTGAAGAACGTTGGCCGAGTGAATATACCTGAAAATTTAGGGATTTTAACCCTGATTTATTTATTTTTATCTTTAATTGCGGGCGATTCAGATCTAGTGGGTAAAACTCACTTCAATCCGCGCAGGATTTGGTATAGAAAATAGCAAATGTGGTCGTTGCTGAGTTTTTGCGTCTTCAGAAGCTTGTAAAGATCGGTTTCCATCAAGCATTGGACAATGTAACTAGAATTTTTGTATTAAGCGGTTCCTTTAATAAGTTTTTACATATCACGCATCATGTCTACACTTGGGGCTCGGATGATTTCCTGGATGTTGATGATCTGAAAAAGCAGGCATAATTTGGTTAAACTGGCCACTTCAGGGAGTAAAGATTTGTTTATCTCAAAAAAACAGAACATTTTTAAAATTTGCATCCAAGGTATGAAAACTTACATTTTCATGCTTGAAGCGGCTAAGGATCTTGATCTCGCGTAGCGTTCGTTGGCAGAATGTCTGATGTTCAAAGGGTGAAATCTTCTTGATAGCCACTCGTTCCAGCGAGATCGTATCCAAAGCCGATCTGTAAAATTTTAATTGATAGTGTTTAGAGTTACAAGGTGTCTATAATAGTACTTTATAATGAACTTACACGACCATTCCGTAGGCTCCCTCCCCAATATAGGTCAAGTTGGTGTAACGGGGTGCAACTTCAAAGAGTTGACCATGAACTTCTTCAACAGCATTTCTGATATCGGCCGGACCCTCGTCCATTTGAAGTGGTCCCCTTAAAAAATCAAATTGATTGCAGTTTTTAGTTTTTAAGACACTGAAGTGTACGAAAGAGAAAATATCTGAGCATCAAAGGACGATGACATGAAAGGACAACAGGATTATTTTTATAAACTCCATGGAAACGGGCGCGATATAAAAATGAAGCGTTTACGGTTTAAACAATAATACTATAAATTTCCAAAGTAGCAGAAAACGGAGTATGACCAAAAGTTGTTGGGATGGTTGTGGTGAAATGGGCAAAAGACCTCGAAATTGGCCCCCTTTGTTGCGGAATGGGCCACCCGCATGCACCTACTAATTACCAGGCACCAACAGATGAATTCGTATTTTTCTCTATTGAAAACAAGGCCTTTCCTTCACTCATCAGATGATTTCGTGAATGAAGTGAACTTTGGCGGTTGCGATGCACGAAAATCACGACGACGGACGGACCTGGGAAATGTTGTAAAAATGAGTTTGTTTAAAGGATCAGGCCAGAATGCGGTCGTGCGGTTACCTAGCTGGGTAACTAGTTCTTGAACAAATTCGTTTAGTCGGCGGGTTTGGCCTTTGAAAGCAAATCTGTTTTCCGGGTGCTGTTGGCTCGAGTCGGAAGGTAAACGGATACCCCTGGTTGGAATCAAGGGCAGCACATTTGCATTTGAATGGCCAAAGAGATGCGGGAAATGGGGGTCGGCTATTCAAGGTCTATTTTAGGTGGCGATCACGATTTTTGTGGTGTCAGTTTGGGGGAAGAGAATTACAGTAAAAAATTAGGATGGTAAATGGCGGTTAGGAGATGGAGGCTTGGGGGTCATTGCTTTGGTATTGTCCGTGACTGGAAAGAGTGTGAGACTGCGATAAGGAAGCTTACCGCCGTAAAATCTCTACGTGCGGGGTGGATGTGTGGGCGTTTGAGAGGAGGTGTTCAAAAATCTTACCAAATACATATTGAGGAAATGGCTTTTGTCAGCTTCCAGTCATATTTCATTAACGCAAACTTTTAGCGGTGTGTCTGATAGGGTATTAGAGGCCAAAGAACCCTTAGGTCATCGCGGTCCTAGAGTTTTCAAGTAAACATTTTCGATACTAAAATTAAGGTTTTTTTAAATTTGTGGCACCATCTTTGTTGGAAGAAAATTAATATGCGGCCAAAAGGCAAGGGTAGCTTTTAAAAGAAAGCATTAAATATTTTATAGTTCGTATGCAAATCACCCCACTCGTCAGTGACTCAGCGACGGCGTTAGGACTGAACACCCACAAACCTAGTTTTCGCCATTGCTTTTATTCTTACTAACACCCGCACCCATCAGCTGTGAAAAAGACCTACATCTTAGCCGCTTTAGTGGGGGTTCGCCCGGATTTGATGAAAGATTAATGGAACGGAAGAGCGTGGTGGACCTTGCGAGGGCCCACCCCGTGAAGGGGTCGAATTCCCAGCCTCCCATCCATCTTTCACCACCTAGTTGGAGCCGAGCCCAGGATTCGAGATCCCCGAAAGGCACAATAGCTTCACCTTGGGTCGCAATATGCGACGCAAAAAAAGGACAACAAAAGCCAAAAATGAGGGGAGAGGCTGGGCGATGGCGGGAAGACAATGGGTTAGGGCCCTTTTTGGACTGAAAGACAGAATATTTGGAGAAGAAGATGGTGTATTGATGCATGTATGTTCGTATGGAACCTCAAAAATCAGCGAAATGGAATATGGGTTAATAATTAAATGCAGTTTTAAAAATTAAGTGCATACTGTACTAATGTTGGGCAATAAGGAATAAACGCTGACTCTTTTTTCCACAGCGGCGTCCGGACAACGTACAGGGCAATAAATCGTACTATTGTTTTTCCGCTTGGCCAAACGGCAGCGACAAGTGCCAAATGCCCCCCACGGGGCCATTGGATATCGATATTTGACTGGGACGGTCACTTCTCACGTGTGCTCCGTCGATTCATGCTCGTATGACAAAGCGGCATTCGGAATCGGAAATAGGCGAATTTTGGACAGCTCCCAAAAGCCCATCAGCGAAGAATTCTAAGTAAGACTGTGTAAACTCTGATAAAAAAATCAATTGGGGCATCTTAAAATACGATTCCTTTTTGAAACAGATTAGTAAAAGTTAAAACCAAAAATTTCTTAGATCCAACCTTAAAATCTCTAAGCCTGGATTTAAATTGAGTTAATTCATGCATAAGATACAAACTAGCATTTGAATAAATCTCAAAAAGAATAAAAAAAACTGGCGCCAAAAATCGAAAAACTAGGAAAAAATCACAGTGCATTGACGGAACACCAAACGACTGATAATCAACCTATCACCCCGCGCCAATTGATACCAACCGGCGAACAACATTTACGTGTTTTTTCCAGAGAGAGTTTAGATACCAAAAGGTTTTGCGACCCGATGGGCAAGTGAATGAAAGAAATGACCCGGCCTCGAGCACGAGAAAGAGGAAAAAACCGAAGAGACAAGGAAGGAGCATCTTCCTTACAACAGGAGGGGCCATCCAACAGGACACACACACACGAGACGGGGGCCCTTTTCTTCTTTCTTTTTGCCTGTCTCGCCGGGGGGGCCCAACCCTTTATTCGCGCATAATTCATCGGGTTTTGTTGTGGGGGAAGGAATGAGGGATTGGTTGGCCAAGTACCCCCATGGAATTATGCATTGAGGTTTTTTGGTGTGGGTTGGCGGGGGAAACGGATAAGGTTAGATCTTTGAAACGAGTAGGCAACACGGGATTTTTGGTATCGATCAGAGTTAAAAACTGAATACATGATAACCTCAAATTTGCATAGATCTTCCTGAATAGCGGTGCAAGAAAATACAAACATCAGCCTTTCCGTCGCTTTATTTAGGCTTCTCCAATTTCCGGTAAATGTTAATTGTTTTTGAACAGAGGGTGAACAATTTTTCACAGACAGAAAGATAAATTTAAAATGCAAAACATCAGCTATTTTAAATAATCTATGCTTCTAGCGATATCCGTACCGATTAGGAAGATGATATTTCATATAATGATGTATAAAAAATCCCGTTAAAACGGCTCCTTAACCCGTTATTTTCCGGATATGCCGACGGAAGTAGCCTGAAAATTGGCACAGACAAACACTGTCCTTTTTTAGGTATAGTACGACCAAATTTGGGCGTTGCAACCTCGTAATACTGGATATCTAGTTTGGAATTGACGGCAATGAATGCACATCGGAATGGGCCAAAAGGGGCCAAGCAGCCCCGCGGGGTCCAAATGGAACGGCCGGATATGGGTATGGGCACACCCAAATGGCTGTCGCCCATCATATTTCCCGGGAACATGAATATGTGGACACGACCAGCCAGTCATAGCCCTGCTATGCTCTGCCCTGCCATCCGCTGCGGTTGCTGTGCTTTGAAGCCCAACCCAGGGGCCGCTATTTCATGTCGGTGAATTTCGGGGGTTGGTGAAAAAAAAGTGCTACTAAACTTTGCTGGAATTAAATTTCGACGGCTGTACAAAGCATTTAGAAACTTGAGCGTGATTGAACTATAAAAGCCTGCGTATCTCTATGCACCTGCCTATCTGCGTAAATAGGCGTATACGTAGTACAACTTCAATCTAACCTTCAAAATCAATTCCGTAGCAACCTACTTTGGACCTAAGGGCTCAATTTCTGTTTCAAATTGTAATATCCGGTCGAAATGCCCTAAGCAGCTATAGGTCAGATGGTAGGCGACGCCGGAAGTCTCAAAACCCCCCAATTTCCTAACTAAAATAGGCTAACAAATACCAACCTACCGACCATAATATATCGATACGGATTAAAACAAGCCCCCCCCCCTTCCGAAATAGCTCATAGACCGTCACTCTTTGAGCGCGAGGGGAAAGATGAATTGGGCGCTTTCTATCAATGAAGGGCAGATTAACCTTGGCCATACGGATTCCCCCGGATTTGGGCAGCTTTCGTACCCTTCACGGTGTAGGTTTTGTTCGCGCTGCACCGAAAATTTTGGAAAACAAAACGATTCGGCTTGTGGGGAAGGAAGAGAGAGGGAGAGCGATAGAGATAAAGAGAAAGAGAAATAGAGAGGGAGCTAGCCACAAAAAAATGCCTGTCAAGACCGTGCATGCCGAGCCTTCGGCCGAGGTGCACGAGAACGATAAAAATCTAGGGCAACGGCAGGTGTCGGCTGGTGGGAAGAGATTATTCTTGACGGGGGGACAACACCGCCAAAAATATGTGTCAACCGCCTCAAAACGTTGACTCATCGCTTGGAATGGGTTTGGAAACGATAAAGAAGTGGAAAAATAGAGGATAGTTTATGAAAAAGCTAAGGTTACAGCTTGATTTTGGCAATGGGCAATATTTTTGGGGAATTTACGATTATTTACTGGTTTTGGCGAAATAGGGTATTGTTGAAAGCTTACGGCTGTCCGAACTACAAATTCCTAGAAATAACTTTTTAATCGGTAATTTTTGGTGCTATTTTTGGGCACACGACACAAGTTTAAAACAGTGTCGCTATATACTTTATGTGCGGCTAGCAACAAAATTAAAAAAATTGAGGTGTGGAATCAACATCGAAGTTATATATAAATTGTTTTAATTGCTATACAATGTTTAAAAATGCTAATAACACGATAACAACAACTTTAAGCCAAAAATCGCAACTAAAATCAATCCCTACAGCCTACAAATCCTTTTCTGATGATGAAAAAGTGATTTGCGTGTTTTCTAAAACGCAAAAAATGATGTGAGACAGTGGATCAAAAGGGTCCAGTTATACAAGAGGGCCCTGATCCGATGCCGGAGAATTTTCATAAGGGATGGATTAGGGGGGAGGGACCCAGTGCATGGGAGGCGAGGGACCACGAGTTGTGCCGAGGGAGCAGGGATCAATGCGAGAGACTACGTGGGCAAAGAGAGCACACAGATAAATAGATATCAGTCTGGCAAAAAGGGGGGCAGCGCCCGGGCGAGACCTCTAAAACTCGAGACGAGCCCACCGATTCCAAATAAAACCGTT